TCTGGAGTTGCTTCTTAGTCAAACTGGATGTTGAATGTTGAAGTTTCCACAGATCCTACATTATTCCTGAATAGCCTCACTCATTGAGCTTGCTCATAGCAGCACAACAACAATTAATTCAACAGTCAATTACTGTCAGTCACCACCAAGGGCTGATCAACTTTGAACCAATTCAAAACAAGGAGTTGTCATCTGATAGCGCTGTCAGCCACTTTGCAGTCCCTTCATATTACAAATGGAGACAGCCAAGAGTGACATCTCCGCTTTCGGCAGCTTTGTTTTCTGCATCACATTTCTAGCAATATATACAGTCTATGGATGAGAAGGGACAAGGGGGACTGATGTGGATGGGTATGGGGAGAGGAGCTGGGAGCTTTTAGAGGTGGGCTGTTCGTTATGAAAGTGGAGGAGTAGAGGAAGGGGGGTATTTTCAGGCATTTCTGGGAGATGCAACCTTTTTTCCTCTGTCCCTGCAATTGTCTTTCATAAATGCTTCTTTTGGCTTACTACTAATTGTTGGGATGACACTGTCCTACTTTCTTCCTATAGGATAATCAAAGCGGGTTTTGAAGCATTGGGCTTTGTTCATTGGAACTCTACATGTTTATGTTTATGTTTATTTATTTAGCAGACGCTTTTATCCAAAGCGACTTACAATTTATAACTCATAGGGCATGTTGTGATCTGTGGGGGAAACCGGAGTACCCGGAGGAAGGGGAGAACACGTAACTCCACGCAGAAAGGCCGCAGCCGAGTTTCGAACCTGTGACCTTCGTGCTGCGAGGCAACAGTGCTAACAACTGCGCCACCATGCAGCCCATGGTGCTACATTTATTTTTAACTGGTTAGCTAAGAATTTGCCTGATTTATTACCATGTTCAAAGTTTTCTATTTGTAGTCTTTGTGCTAAAATGGTGTTTTTTGTCAATAATTCCATGAAGTTATTGTTTAGCATTTCATATTTTTCTCTGTATTTCGTCTTCTGAGGAGGCCCAAAAATGTAATAATTTCTTCTAATTCCTGAATACGTATGTTTTAAGTTCATTTCTTATGATGTGAAAGAGATTTTTTTTACCTCTCATCAGTATCTTTGTGCTTCTTCAGTCACAGTTGTGTTAACATTTCTCCTACCTGCTACCTCACAGCACAAAGGTCACAGGTTCTCCCACCACTGCTATGCAGACGACACCCAGCTCTATCTGTCATTTCCACCGGACGACCACACTGTCTCTGCACGAATATCAAACTGTCTCTCTGACATATCAAAATGGATGAAATCCCACCATCTCCAACTCAACCTCTCTAAAACTGAACTACTTGTCATCCCAGCAAAACCATCCATACAGCACAGTATCTCAATCCAAAATGACTTCCTATCTCTGGCTCCTTCAAAGGCAGTTCGAAATCTGGGTGTTGTGATTGATGAACACCTGACCTTTAAAGATCATGTTGCCTCTGTTGCTCGTTCATGCCGCTTTGCACTGTATAACATACGAAATATCAGACCATACCTAACACAACATGCCACCCAGCTCCTGGTGCAATCTACTGTCATCTCCCGCCTCGATTACTGCAACGCCCTTCTAACTGGTCTTCCAGGCTGTACTGTGAGACCTCTTCAAATGGTCCAGAACGCAGCGGCGCGTCTGGTCTTCAATCAGCCAAAAAGAGCACACGTCACCCCTCTGTTCATTGAGCTCCACTGGCTACCGCTAGCAGCACGCATCAAATTCTAATTGCTAACACTAGCATACAAAGTCCGAGATGGTACGGCTCCCATCTCTAGCAAAGGCCTACGTCTCGGCCTGGCCGCTCCGGTCATCACAGGATCGTCGGCTAGCATTGCCTACACCACGCTCAGGACAATCCAGAGTCTTCTCATGCATCATTCCACAAATGTGGAATGACCTTCCAAGCACTACCCGAACAGGGGCTTCCTTTTCAATTTTCAAGAAACTCCTGAAGACCCTGCTCTTCAGAGAGCATCTTCTAAACTAGCACCTTCCTGCACCCGTCCCCCCTCTCTATACTGTCCACTCCTTGTTCCCTACTCTCCATGACTGATGTCAATGTTGTTGTTATTGTTGTTGTTAGCCTCAAGGGCAACATGCCGATTATCACTTGTAAGTCGCTTTGGACAAAAGCGTCTGCTAAATACATAAACATAAACATTTATATTGTCAGAATTTTTCCACATGGCGTTCTACAATCTGCTCTGTGTCTCTGCTGCTAGACATCTTTTTTTTGTGTGGATGGCAGAGCTGCTGATCAAGTCAATGGAAACGGCATTAAGTACAGGGTAGATTGGATGAGGTTTTTCCAGGATTCTACATTTCGGAGATGAATGAAATTATTCACTTTTTTTTTCATTACTTACTTCATTCATGAAAAAAATAGCATAAACATAACATTTCAGTCCGTTGGAAGAGTAAAGGGGAGCAGAAGAGAAGTTCTTAAAAAATCACTTTCCCTTTCTCTAAGGTGAGAAGTAAAATTAAAAACTCTTGACCAAAGTAAAAAAACAACATCAAGTATATATCTGTAAAAATTTTCAAAAATCAAGTTTTCTAAGCATGCTCAACGACCCTGCAGCTTTAGTTTCCCTGTCTAAGTTACTCTACTGTGTGCATCTGTAGACTAAAATAATTTAATTCTAATTCTAAACTTAGGTTTCTTAAAGACTTTGGTACTTTCAAGTTTCTCTTCTTACAAACAAAATCAAAACATTGGTCAGTAATATGCTGATGCAGGTCTTTTACACAATTTGAAATACCTTCCAGTTAGGTAACTCATAAAATGTAAGTACTCTATGTTTTAAGAAGAGGATTAGAGGGGACATCCAAATGAATATTGTCATACTGTAAATTTTGTAAGTCGATCCCCAGATTTCAGTACAGTTAAACTGGGAGTGATCAGTGCTTGGACAGTATTCCAAAACTATTCAATAGATTTTTAACCCTATGAAGTACAGCAACGACTGATATTTTAATTTTTACATATTCAATATGGTCCCTCTATTAAAAAAAAGGGGGGGGGGTGCTCCAACTACAGGGGGATCACACTCCAGAGCTTCCCTGATAATGCGTATACCTTGGATTCAGAAGAAGCAATGTGGCTTTCGTCCTGGCCGTGGAACACTAGACCAGCTCTATACCCTTAGGGGGATACTGGAGGGTGTGTGGGAATTTGCCCAACCAGTCTACATGTGTTTTGTGGATTTGGAGAAGGTGTTTGACCGCGTCCCTCGGGGGCCCTGTGGGGGGTACTCCGGGAGAATGGGGTACCAGGCCCTCTGATACGGGCTGTTAGGTCCCTGTATGCCCGGTGTCAGAGCTTGGTCCGCATTGCCGGCAGTAAGTCGGGCTCGTTCCCAGTGAGAGTTGGACTCCGCCAAGGCTGCCCTTTGTCACCGACTCTGTTCATAACCTTTATGGACAGGATTTCTAGGCGCAGCCAAGGTGTGGAGGGCATCTGTTTTGGTGGCCTGAGGATCAGGTCTCTGCTTTTTGCAGATGATGTGGTCCTGTTGGCTTCATCAGAACGTGATCTTCAGCTTTGGCTGGAGCGGTTCACAGCCAAGTTTGAAACAACTGGGATGAGAATCAGCTCCTCTAAATCTGAGACCATGGTCTTGAGTCAGAAAAGGGTAGAATGCCTTCTCCGGGTCAGGGATGAGGTCCTGCCCCAAGTGGAGGAGTTTAAGTATCTCGGGGTCTTGTTCACGAGTGAGGAGAAACTGGAGCGTGAGATCGGTAGGCAGGTTGGTGCTGCATCTGCAGTGATGCGCGCGTTGTATCGATTTGTCGTGGTGAAGAGAGAGCTGAGCCAGAAGGCGAAGCTCTCGATTTACCGGCCGATCTACGTTCCTACCCTCACCTATGGTCATGAGCACTGAAAGAACGAGATCGCAGATAATAATGGCTGAAATGAGTTGTCTCCGCAGGGTGGCTGGGCTCTCCCTCAGAGATAGGGTGATAAGCTTGGTGATCCAGGAGGAGCTCGGAGTAGATTCACTGCTTCTCCGCATCAAGAGGAGCCAGTTGAAGTGGCTCAGGCATCTGATTAGAATGCCTCCTTGACACCTCCCTGGTGAAGTTTCCCAGGCACGTTCAACTAGGAGGAGACCTTAAGACAGACCCAGGACACGTTGGAGGGGCTATGTCTCACGGCTGGCCAGGAAACGCCTTAGGATTCCTTCGGAGGAGCTGGTCCAGATGACTGAGGAGAGGGAAGTCTGTGCCTCCCTGCTTAGGCTACTGCCCCCGTGACCCAACCCCGCATAAGCAGCCTAAAATAGATGGATGGATATAGAACAGCTCGTGTCATTCAATAATTACTTCCTCAATTAGTAGGTGATTGAGTCAGGTCTCGGTAATTGCCATCACCCTAAACTTGTATTTAAATCTTCATGAAGTTTATCTCTTACTAAATAGAATATTTACTAAGAAATCACAATGTAGCCACAGAAACACTACTTGTTATATATGTTGTGTGTGTGTGTGTGTGTGTGTGTGTGTGTGTGTGTGTGTGTGTGTGTGTGTGTGTGTGTGTGTGTGTGTGTGTGTGTGTGTGGACAAGAGAGAAAGGAAGGTCGATTCTCACATGTTTAAGGGTAGCACTTTCTTCTCACCAGCTCCACAGACAGAAGTGAGTAAAGAAAATGAATGAGATATATTATTCAGGGCTGAATCATCTAAGTCAGCACCAGAAAAAAAATATCTGAGCTAGATTTTTCCCTTTTTTTCAAACAAGAGATCCACTTGTAGAAAACTGATGAATCAAGACTCTAAAGTTATGTTTTGGATTCAGCTTTTTGGTTGCGGCCAGAATGTCTCCTATCTCTTTTTATTGATGGGTTTGGGGGGTAAAAAGGACGTCATGAAGACAAATGCTCATTAAAGACAGATCATTTGGGGATTGATTTATATTATAACAACATTTAAGTATAATCTGGTAACATACACACATATATCTATACATTTATATTTTTTTTGTCTCAGATGTCCCACACCAGGCTGCGATGGCAGTGGACACATCACTGGCAATTACGCATCACATCGAAGGTAAGAGCTGTAGCCTGAAGCAGATTCTGTTGGTAACCAAGTTATCGTGAAGTTCATGAACATGTCTCACTCCCTCTAGAAAACTTTGTCTTCAGAAACGTTAAAGATCAGCTCTGTAGGAGCGCAAAGAGCTAAACAGTGAGAATAGACAACTGTTTAATAAAAGGAAGGACCACTAAGATGTGTGCTAAGATGCTTAACAATGATTTAAAAGTTCTGCTTCCACTTTGACCTCATAAAACAGACAAACATGAGTAAAACAATACTTATGGTCAGTGGACACAAAAATACAAAACAGTCATTCAGCCATTTTAAAAGTTTTCTTCATGCTGGACTATTAGTCAGTGAACATACATGGGTCCATACTTTACTTGACCCTAAAATCAGACCAGGTTAGATTATTTTTTCATTCATTTTCTTTACCCATTGGATCATGTGGGGAGCTGGTTCCTACATTTATCTTCAGAGGTCATTGGAAAAGATAGTTTGGTCACCAGTTCATCACAGTGCTACACAGAGACAAACCATCTTTCACCAATCGACCAAACATGCATTCCTTTGGTCTGTAGCAAGAAACCAGAGTGCCCGAAATAAAATACACAAGTATGTGGTGAATATGCTAACTCCACACATCTATGGGGAGAACATGCTAACTCTAAGCATGTTTTGGGCAACACATGCTAACTCCATGCATCTATGGGGAGAACATGCTAACTCCATGCATCTATGGTGAGAACATGCTAACTCCATGCATCTATGAGAACATGCTAACTCCATGCATCTATGGGGAGAACATGCTAACTCTAAGCATGTTTTGAGGAGAACATGTTTACTCCATGCATCTATGGAGAGAACATGCTAACTCAATGCATCTATGGTGAGAACATGCTAACTCAAAGCATGTTTTGGGGAGAACATGCTAACTCCATGCATCTATAGGGAGAACATGCCAACTCTAAGTTTGGGTAGAACATGCTAACTCCATGCATTTATGGGGAGAACATGCTAACTCAAAGCATGTTTTGGGGAGAACATGCTAACTCTAAGCATGTTTCGAGGAGAACAGGCTAACTCAAAGCATGTTTCAAGAGAACATACTAACTCAATGCATCTATGGTGAGAACATGGTAACTCTAAGCATGTTTTGAGGAGAACATGCTAACTCAAAGCATGTTTCGGGGAGAACATACTAACTCAATGCATCTATGGTGAGAACATGCTAACTCAAAGCATGTTTTGAGGAGAACATACTAACTCAATGCATCTATGGTGAGAACATGGTAACTCTAAGCATGTTTTGAGGAGAACATGCTAACGCCACACACAAATGAGACAAAATTCTCAAATGTTCCATTTAAAGGTCCCAGGCAGCTGTGTGTTGAACCAGAAACCTTCTTACTGGGAGGTCACAGTGCTACCAGCTGCATAACTAGTGTAGGATTTAATTTCTAGTCTTTGCCAGACTCATTTTTCAATGAATGAATGAGTGAATGAATGCATACATAGATACATCGCTCATCTGTGATATAATAAGGTGTATATAAAAATATAAATTTAATTGGGGTAAATTTCTTGTTTTATTCTTTATTTACCTTTTTTCCCATCGAGGTCACACTATTACCTGATTATTTTGCATGTTTGCCTATTCTTCACACACATTTGTTATCAAAAGCAGATAACATTCATGACTAGATTTTTTATTTCTATTTCTTCATCACATGTTTCTGTGAAGGGAACAATTGGTGATCAGTTACAGAGATTTTCTTTTGTGGCGTAGAAAAATTCAGGTTTCAGGGTTTTAAAAGCAGCTTCGCTTGCTCTAAGCTCAGAGCATCTGATGGGTTAAAATTGTACCTTTTAAAGGAGAATTTTAAACAAACGTTTGACTTTTACCATAGGTCTTGTGGAAAATAAATCTATGACATGTTTGTAATGTGTTTTTGAGTCCTTAGTGGGTACAGACCATCTCCTTGTGTTGGATAAAAACGTTATTCGTGTTTGGTTCTAATGACGTGGTTATGATTCCATGGGCCAGGGTCAGATGCTGGATGTTAGCTGGATTCATGTCTTTAACATCAAACTGAAGGAATTTTGTCTTCTTATATTTTCCATTTAAGCAAGAATGTAAAAATGAAATTCTTATGCACAGACAGTGCTCCTTAACAGGTTTGAATATTCTGCAGATTCCTTACAGGTCATCTGTACTCCAACAGTTTCAATGCTGGCGGGTTCTTCTTAGCATCATTACTTTCCCGTGAAAACCAGACCTTATAAAGAAAAATTTAGCAGTTTTGGCTTGCTTTTAAAGTTAAAGTCCCATATTCATCATCACACACTGGTGAATTTCATCTCCTCATGTGACCCATCCCCATGGAGGGGTGCTGTGAGCTGCAGCGTTGGCTGTGTTTGGGAACTATTTGGTGGTTTATTCCCCCAATCCAACCACTTAAAGCTGAGTGTCAAGCAGGGAGGCACTGCGTTCCAGTTTTAAAGTCTTTGGTATGACCCAACCGGAAATCGAACCTCGATCTCCCAGTCCCAGGGCGGACACTTTACCACTAGGCCAGTGAGCCTAATTTAATTCACTGTCGTAAAAACGGAACAGAAGCTTTCCTCCTTGCTGTGCGCTCGTTTTTTTAACATCTTAATCTAACAGCTGAAGTGTCTCGTAAGCCTTCATTAATGTCTACAGGAGTGAATCATCACTAAATTAAAGAAATCAGCTGTGTTCACAACCTAAAACATGCAGGAATCGTGTTAATGAGCTCTCGTGATTCAGAAACCCCTGACGTTGACTCGTTTGACTATTGTGGTTGGACATTCTTTTTATTTATTTAGCTCCATAAGATAAACGTTTAGAAATAGAGTTTTTGACTAGATATAGTTGGACTCACCTTGATGCATGGCTCTAACGCCATAAGCAGTTTGTTTGAGTGTGGCTGGACACTCTACCACTCTGGAGATGCCCCACTGAGAGGCGCCGAGCAGAGGTGGGCATACTAATTGCCCCCCATCTATGTGCCTGTACGATAGGGTTCACCCCAGGGAACAAGAGGGTAGCCTCCCACCGTCTACGTGTGGGGGGACGGGTCCTGAACAAACTACAGTTCAGACTACCCACCATTTTTGGAGTCCTTGGAGGAGGTGCTGGAAAGTGCTCCTTCTGGTGACTCCCTCGTTCTGCTGGGGGAATTAAATGCTCACATGGGCAACAACAGTGTGACCTGGAGAGGTCCCCATATGACCAGTGCCAGTGCCTGAGCTTGGTCCGCATTGCCAGCAGTGAGTCGGTCTCGTTTCAGGAGAGAGTTGGACTCCGCCAAAGCTGGGGCTCGGAGTAGACCAGCTGCTCCTCCACATCGAGAGGAGCCAGTTGAGGTGGGTCAGGCATATACTTAGAATACCTCCTGGACACCTCCCTGGTGGGGTTTCCCAGGCACATCGAGCCAGGAGATGGCCTAAAGGAAGACCCAGGACACGGTGGAGAGTCTATGTCTCTTGGCTGGCCAGGGAACACCTTAGGATTCCACCGGAGGAGCTGGACCAAGTGGCTAGGGAGAGGGAAGTCCGGGCCTCCCTTCTTAGCCTGCTGCCCCCGTGACCAGACCCCAGATAAGCGGCCAAAATTGAATGGATGAATTCCTTAGAATGCCTTTAAAGATGTAGTTCACTGAAAATTAACTTTTAATGATTTTTTTCTGACTACAATAAGTCACTCAGAGTTTTTCATGCAGGCTGAACATGAAAATAGTCTCCTACACCCATCTCCTACATTAGCTTCTGATCAAAAATAGACGGTGAAACTCTAGGATTAGAAAGGCCTTAAAGATCTACGTCACTCTGTCACTTTACATTCATGGACTCACCCATCTTGGCTCACAATGGGGAAGGCTGTTGTTGATTTAGTGTCCAGGAAATAGCAGAGAACGTCTTGGCTAGAATAAGCTAACCATTAGCATTAGCATCTCCACCACACAGCAGAACTCCTTATGGTATTGCTTTGGACACGGTGGATCACAACGTGCTGATTGACCATCCTGGTCAATATGTGGGAATTTTAGGTTTGGCCCTGGATTGGTTTAAATTGTGCCTTGAAAATATAACAGTTAGCGTCAGGATGGGTGGTTTTTCGTCTGCCTCCTCACATCTTTTGTGTTAGGGCCGCTGCTGTTTCTGATCTACAATCTTCCGCTGGGGCGTATCTTCCGCAGCTTTGGTATTAGTTTTAATTTTTTTGCTGATGACTGCCAACTTTGTCTCCCCCTAAATGGTGAACATGCCACTTCCATGTATAACCTAGTGGACTGCCTGTCCAAACAGGGCAACTTTGGCAAGACAATAACTGGTGCAAAATGCAGCTGCCACATTTTTTGTGGGCAAGAAGAATTTTGACCGTGCTTCTCCAATGTTGGTGGCGTCCGTCCTTGCACTGGCTGCCTAGTGATTTCAGAATTTGGTTTAAAATCCTTTTATTGGTTTTAAATCATTTGGTGGGTTTGTGACTGAAGCTAGACGCACACAGCTGGATGGTTTCCATGACAAAACCTTGCTGTTTCCCTGTGTGTGCTACCCAGTCTTGTCTTTTTCAGGTCACTTTTGTTGGTTTTGTCGCTCTTTCCTTCTGTGATTTGCTGACATTCTGTTTTCTGAAATTCTGTCTAATTTTCCAGTCTGTCAGGCTGTCCTATTGCTGATAAAACACTTCGGACCCTTATGGCTGCCCACACAACTGAACTGAAGTATGTGTTCCTTTCTGACCTTTGACATGTTCACTACACTCTGTAGCTACAGCTCTTTCCATGCCTTCCTCCGCTGTAAACTTCTGCAAATATAGACAAACCTCAAATTCTTTACAGTTGACTTATATAAGAAAATAATTTAACCATGATGAAGAGTCTTTCTGATGACTTCTAATTACTGAGCCACTTTCTGCATGTGCTTCAGGTGTCCAACTCCAGGCTGCGATGGATCCGGCCATATAACTGGAAACTATGCCTCACACAGAAGGTGGGTCTCTTTTGAAACGTTTTACCTGCCGAAGCTTTTTTTTTTTTAAGTTTATTTTAGTCTGGTGTTTCATCAAAAAGGTGATGATATCCTCAATAGATGTTTGACAAAACTAGATTTAAATCATCCAGACTAAAAATAAAAATGTGGGCCTTCTCCTGGCAGAACACAAAGTCAGACTGAGGGAGTAAATACAGACTAGGACAACATTGTTGGTACCCTTCGGTTTATGAAAGAAAAACACTCAGTGGTCACAGAAATAACTTGACTCTGACAAAAGTAATAAGAAATAAAAATTCTATAATGCTGCTGCTAGAGTCTTAACAAGAACCAACAGAACCGAGCACATCACTCCTGTTCTTAAACATCTACACTGGTTACCAGTAAACTACAGAACCAATTTCAAAGTACTTCTACTACTTTATAAATCACTCCGTGGCACGGGGCCTGAACATATGTCGGATCACCTTCAGGTGTCTACGCCCAGCAGGACTCTGAGATCCTCAGGAAACAGTCAGCTGGTAGAACCGGGTCAGAACCAAACAGGGAGAAGCTGCTTTTAGCAACTATGCTGCTCCAACACATTCTCACACCCAAAGCGTCAAAATATGACGCGTGTGGCCAAGCCTCAATATATGACGATTCAGGACGCCCCAGCGTGTCAGGAGACGACGATCAGGGGCACGCTGGGACACGTGGCTCTGCTGGCGTCACTGTTTGACGCGCACGGTCACACGGACATTATTCGACTATTTAACCTTCCCCCACCCCAATCCTAACCTTAAGGTCCATAAACTGTGACCTTAAGGTTAGGATTGGGGTGAGGGGAAAGTTAAGTAGTTCACAAATCGTTCTAATGTCCGTCTCACCACCGGCGTCGGATACCGACGCTCTGGGACAGTGCGTCATCAATGTGTCCCTGATCGTCGTCTCTTGACGCGCTGGGGCATCCCGAATCGTCATATATTGAGGCTTGGTCACACGCGCCGTATTTTGACGCCTTGGGTGTAAGAAGGAATGTGTTGGCTGCTCACAGATGTAATCAGCATCCTCATGACCTCAGATGTGCCCCGACTCTAGAAACCTTTAAATCAAAACAGAAAATCTTCATGTTTTCATCAGCCTGTGAATGAATGATCTTATGCTGCACCATCTGCACTGTAGCTGCTCAGCCGTTAACTTTACTTTTTTGACATTGTATTTTCTGTCATGTTGATTTTAATGTCCTTGCTATTCTTACAAATGGAAAGCACATTGATGACAAATCAAAGAGACGAATAATCGGAATGGTAACAAAAGACATCCAAGGTGAACTTCAAGCTAAATCTGTGTCAGATCACAACATCCGTCGTCGTTCGAGCCAAAGTGAAAGACGACCAAGGAGGACACCATTGTTGAAAACAAATTATAAACCTCAATCTGACTGAGCATCTTTGGAAGGAGCTGAAAGATGCCGTCTGGAAAAGGTGTCCTTCAAACCTGAGACAACTGGAGCAGTTTGTTCATGAGGAGAGGGCCAAAATACCTGCAGAGAGGTGCAGAGGTGTCATTGATAGCCACAGGAATCGTTTGATTTAAAAAGATGTGCTGCAAAATATTAAGTTAGGGGTACCATAATTTTTGCCCAGGCCTATTCCATGAATTTATGTTTTTATAATTCTGTTGAAGCATGGTTGAAAAGCAATGTCTGACTTTCATTGGTTCATTTTTATAGAGTTTTTATTTAGTATTACTTATGTCAGATTCAAGTTATTTCTGTGACCAATGTGGGTTTTTCTTGTTTATGGAGAGTGTTTGTGCGGGACTCTTACAGTCAAGTTGGTTCTTCCTCATGAGGAACATTCTACTGTGGCTCCACTGATCTTGATATTAAGATCTTGAGGAATCAAAAAGAAAGAGGGGAGTCCTAGAAGTTCATTGTAATTTTAACAATGAACAACATTTGAAAAAATGTGGACAAACTTTAATAAACAAATGACTAAATATTACACGCCAAACCCTGTGAGCTGTGAGTTCATGGCTGATGGGTTTAAGGCCTAACAGTCAAGACCTTTCATTCAGATTTTAAAATCTTATTCCATGTAATTACTGTTCTATCCTGGTTTCTGAGGTTTTACCCTTTCAGAGTGCTCCTCCACTTCCTCTCTGTCTTGAAGGCTGGGTCTGTTTCTGCACCTAGTTAGGCAATTCAGAATAGACATCAGCTTTGCAACTGCCCCTAGAATCAAAACTCCTCCCACCACCAATATCTTAGCATATTGCCACAAACCAGAGAGTATAACAGAAGCTTCTCCAATTGTTCCATGCGTTACTACCTTTATCGTTTCTGTGACTCCTAAGGCCAAACCTTTTCCATCCAGGGTCAGCCCCATCTTCAGGAACTGCCAGTCTGACATCTTGGGCCGTTCACTCACCTAGCACTTCCCTGACATGTTTGTCTCCGTTCCATGTCTGCCGTTAAATATCTTTTCACTTTTTGATGCGGCAATGACGGTGCTGTTGACAAACTTAAAGGAAGCAGAGTCCTGACCAATCACAAGCTTGCGATCTCTTTCGACGAATGGTTATAAAGCTGGGCATGTCTACGTCAGCCTCTGTGGGTCTGTCAGAAAGCCCTTGCACTGACGCATAATGGCGTTGCATGTCTCCGTACCAACGCAGATGGAGAAGCATAAATCAGGCTTCAGTAAACCGGGCCCAGAGGATCCTGTAAACGAGTTCCCAGTTCTTCATTCTAGAATTGCTCTCAGACTGTAAAGCTAACAAAGTGTGGCCTTAAGAAAGTTACCGCAAGTAAATTTTGCTAGCAGAACAAGGACGCATGTTCATTGTCATTATTTTTATGTGGTAACACCTTCTCTGTTCTATTGCCAGTTTGTCCGGATGCCCTCGTGCAAAGAAAGGTGGAGTCAAGTCAATCCCAACCAAGGATGACAAGGAAGACGCGGAGCTGCTACGGTGAGCAGCTGTGGCTTTTCCTATTAGCCAAGGAATTGTTGCACAACTCATCTACATTGCTCTCTGCTTCTTGTAAGCATCAAATTCACCAAACAAGCAGTATTTGCTGGAGCCAACATGCTTCTATAGGTCAACAGGAGCGGGGACAGGGTCAGAGTGATCTGCAGGTCTGAATGGATGAACAATAAAGTCACTTCTAAAATGATAGGTCATCTGTTTACTGCTTTAACATGTAAGCACATTTGAATACCGAAAGTCTTCAGCTGGCAGTAGAAGGAGGTTTTATTAAGTGGAGAATAACTGTGGATGAGTCATAGTGATGTTGTTTATTGTCCATGTATGAGTGCATGGTCATTATGCTAGCTCCATGTTTTGTTTGATGCTAGTCTCATAACAAACCATTTCCAGTGATGCTTGATAGGACTTGTCTCCAGGTGTCCCGTCCCTGGCTGTGACAGTCTAGGCCACATCAGTGGGAAGTATGCAACCCATCGCAGTGCCTATGGCTGTCCACTGGCAGCAAAGCGTCAGCGGGAGGGTCTTCTTAATGGCACTCCTTTCTCTTGGAAGGCCTTCAAATCCGAAGGCCCAACCTGCCCAACGCCGGGCTGCGATGGCTCTGGTCACGCTAACGGAAGCTTCTTGACACATCGCAGGTATGCAGTGTTGGTCCAACTGATCGTGAAGAGCCCAGTGATCAAGCAACACTTAAGGTTTCTGTGGTACCCAGGAAAGCTTAAGCTAGGCTCTTCATCTCAGCGTGTGACCAAGCAATTTTTCTGATCTTATTTATGAGCCATTGGTAATACTAACATGTTGTGAGGTAAGTGTAACAGATATTACAATTAAATAATATGAAATAGGTATTGAACTATTGTCTTGACAACTTTGGACCAGTATCAGAAAGTTCTATGTAAAATTATGGAGCCTTGAAAGGATCAGCAGAGAAGGAACCACACAATGACAGATAAGATATGATTTAAATAGAAACTGTATTGAAAAGTTGTAAAGTTTACAAACCCTGCCTGTCTAAGCCGGCTTCCTACAGTGCACAAACGCACATTAAAGGACTCAAAATAAAACCAAAACCCTCTTTGAGGAAATTCTCCAAAGAGTTTCAATTAAAGAGCTTCCACTCCTGTTGCTCAGTCCACTTCTCTTTGGAAAGAGAAATTAGAGTTTTGTGTGTGTGTGTGTGTGTGTGTGTGTGTGTGTGTGTGTTTCTGTCCAGTGGTTCTAACACTACCCGGGTAGATTTTTTTAAAGTGTCAGTCTTATCTGTGTCAAGGGATGTAGTGATAGTCCTGGGGCTCGCTGAAGATGGATCCCATGGCTGGCCACACCGTACTCTGGTCCGTCTACAGTCACTCTCTTGGAATTGGCTTGCCACTGAACCCACATGGTTCAGATCTCAAATGATCCGGTCCTGATCAAAAAACCAATCTATGCACACAGGGCAGAGTGCATGCATTACTATTTTATCTATGCTCCTTCCATCACTCATCTTTAGTTACACAATGTCTCAAGCATCATGAAATAACTTGAGTTGCATCACACAAGGTTTTAGCGCAACAGAAACTATACCTTATATTTACCCTTTTAAGAATAAATAAATTTGTAAGATTCACTCTCTCACATTTCTTTTTTTCCCATATATTTCAACTGAATTATTTCTCAGAAAAATATATCAACTTCTTTAAACACTAATACATTCAACAGAGTAATGACATCCCTCACATTTTATGAACTTTTTGCATCTTTATCAAATGAATTAACTTTTAAATCAACAACTAAAAGGGTGCCTTTAAGCACTACATGACGATATTACTGTTTCTCCAACGTTTTGGAAAGCTAGCAAACTCAAATGAATCACAATATTAGAACACACAGAAATACACAGAAATCGCTAAGCAGTAGCTTAATACTAGCGGTTAGCTGGGCACATTTTAATATATTCTTTAACACTTAAAATTAAACGTCTGCACATCAGTGATGTTACAGTACTTTAAACATAAATATCACAAGTCCGACTGGTTGTTTTTAAACAGGAAATATATTAACAGCAGTCAACTACATGTCTTTATGGTGCTAACATTCATGTAGCATCCCTTACCGGAGCTCGTGGTGAGATAGCAGCTTCCCACGGCCGTATTTCACAGAATTCAGATCCTAATAAATAGCCATCTGTTAATAGCTAGTTGGTGAAGATAAATTGCGAGTTTAACTTTTATTTTAACTTTTCTTACCAGGATCTTTCAGCTAATCTGGCGGTTGCCTCGTGAGTAACGGCTTTCACAACAGGAAATATGACTAACAAGAAGTCATCTCAAGGCATATTTGCCTCCTAGTGGCGGAGAGGGAAACTACACCTCCAACCTTATGCCGCAGCGCAAACCACAATTCTGATGTGGGTTACATAAGTGTCTAACCCACGACATACAGAATCAGTTTGCAGACTACGGTGAAAGTTTTAAACAATAATTTATTAATGGAGAAACCAAGGGAGCAGTATAAATGTAGCTGAGATCTTCAACAGGAGTCGGGTGCAGGAATCTGCAGGCAGATGGAGGTTAGATCCAGCTCGAAAAGGGCAACAGGGGATTTTGGTGATCTATTTAGAACTTACAGTCTGAGAGAGGAAATAGCTCGAGGGGGGAAGTTGGTCCGGTCTGGGTCGGTGAAGCTTTCTAGGAGCAGGGATCCAGAGGTGGAGGTGGAGGGCGCTGAGCATGAAGATGGTGCAGATCTAGATGAGTATCAGTGGGCTACTGGAGGTGGAATTGGCCAGGGAGGGACTGAGAGACGAGCGGGTGTAGAGGTTCTCCAGAATTCTGCCAGTCAGAGATGAGAGTGGAGGGTTTGTCTGGAAACAGCAGGAGATTAAAAAATGCAAAAATCCAAAAGCTCAACAAATGGCTGTTAGAAGGTACCTAGGAAGAGTAATCATCTAGCGAAGTGATGGTGTCTCTCAGCTGCTTAAACACTCCCTGGCTGGCTGATGAGCTGATAATCTGCAGCTTGGCCACCTCCAGACACGCCCACCTGCAGAAGGAGACTCAAAACCACAAAGCAAATGGCAGGAGGAAAAAACCCAGACCGTGACAAATACTGTACCTGGAGCAGCTAAATGCTTTTCCGCTAGAATCTGGTTTAAGGTAGAGATGAAGAGAATTACTGCTTCATTGTTTGGGTTAATGTGTTTAACAATAGTGACTAATTAGGTTTATAAAGTGCATTTCAAGGCACTCAAAATATCCATCCGTTGTTCCCACTCTGCTGGTGAGGGCGAACTAAACTGTAGCCACAGCTGCTCTGGGCCAGCCTAACAGAGGTTAGTTGTGAGGCTGCCATTTGTGCCTTTGGCCCCTCTTAAATGATAAATGATAAATCACTAATGGAGATAAGCTACAATGTAGCCACAGCTACCCTGGGGCGCACTGACGAAGGCGAGGTTGTCGAGCACAGGTGCCACCGGTCCCTCTGACCACCACCAGTGTCATGCCCAAGGACACTACAGCAGAATTCTCTGTCGGGAGCTGGGATCAAACCTGCAACCTTCCAATTACTGGACAATCTGCTCTCACCTCACGAGCTACTGCTGTCCCCTCCTACCACTACCAACACAAGTAAGGTGTCTTACCCAAGGATACAACAGCAGAATTCCCAGGAAGGAGCTTGGATCTCTCCAGCAACTCACTGGTTTCTGGACAACTTAACGCTGTCCATTATTGTGTAGAAGGAGCTGAGCTAAAGGTGAAGTTTTCTTCGACATTACACAGAAGAGTTTAGTGCCCGACTGGATGACTGAAGGGCTGCAGGTTTATGAAATCCTTGTGAATGAACACTAATAAACGCCACACTCAGTCTGTTGCAGTCGATATGTCCTTGGGTAAGGCACGTCACTCTTCTTTCCTGCTAGTGGTGGTCGGAGATCAGGAACCTCAAGGGGAAGTTGGAGAATGCTGCTTGGAGAGATGGACGTCTGCATTTCCCTCCCTGCAGCCATTGATAACCAGACTGCTATATTGTTGGCAGTGGTCTACAGACCATCTATTCTGTATCCTGTTTTTGATGTTCTGTTTATATTAAGACCTTCTTGTTTCTTCTCCTTTTTATTAGCTTTGTCTGGATGGACTACCTAGTTATTGTTTGTGATAAGCTTATCTTGCAGTCTGTCAGGTTGTCCGCGAGCATCAGGGAACAAGAAAAAAGCAAAATTCCCCGGAGACGAATTCATAACTGCAAAGATCAGAGCCAGTGATGGTGAGAAAAGAGCACCATTTCAGTGTGTGTATGTGCGTGTGTGTGTGTGTGTGTGTGTGTGTGTGTGTGTGTGTGTGTGTTGGAACGCTGTCAGTAATTTGGTTTTTCTTCTTTCTGTTTTACAGTTCTGGATAATGATGAGGACATCAAGCAGCTGAACAAGGAGATCAGCGAACTTAACGAGTCCAACTCAGAGATGGAGGCGGACATCGTTGACCTTCACACTCAGGTGAGCTCAGGTTTCTGGACGAAAACGATCTCCTAACACATGGATGTTCTGCTTCGTGATCACCTGACGTGTGATGTATGCGGATGAAGATCAGCATTAGAGCTGAAATGTTTTTTCTCACGGTGCGGGGGCTCGTCCGACGCCCACGCAGTCATTGGCGGTGAACGGTTGGATTTAAAATAACAACTTTAGTTGTCAATGGCAGTGGATGAGTTAAGATTAAGTTGAGAGGGTGGCCCTGCTCGTGTGTTTGAGCATGGACATTTTTTTTAAGGTAAAACAACTCAAGCATATCAAGGACTTGTTCTGCAGATTTGTTGCTCTGATCGCTGATGTGTTCCAGACACCTGCGTCCTGAGCACGGCCACAGTAACATTATCAAATCAGGTGTCGCCACCTCAAAAACAAATTTAACACGCGATTGTTCATGTCGGCTCATTTCCTTTAATGTTTTTTGTTATTTGTTTGTGCCTGATGCATTTCGCTGCTGTGGAGCGGGGCGCATCACCTGTTTTGTCCTCCGGTGACGCACATAACCGGTGCAGCCGGCGCGCGGCGCGCACTCCGCTGTTTTAGCGGTCGGTAGATCTTTTAGAACTGCAGTTCAAAGGTAACTCATAAGGTGAATATATATGAAGCCAGGTAGCCGTTTTTCTTTAGGACTGAGAGGAGATGCAGGAAGATAATAAACAGGCAGGACAGAAAAATAGTCAAATAAAAACAAGTTAGTTTTTGTACCTGCTGGTTGCAACAAACAGACACCATTGAAGGTAATCAGAGGTGAGGAACAGAAAATGAAATAATTATTTTAATGTTTAGAGCAGCAGGAACTCCGAGAGGTTGCAGGCGCATCAGTGAGTTTGCGGCAAGCCCCCACAATGCGGGACAGAAATTGAAGCCAATGCGTAAATGAAATAATAAATGGAGCGGAGCAGTATAGATGCAGAAACTACTGTTGTTAAAAGAGATGTTTAACTTTGAAAATGTGGGCGCAGTTTGAATTGTCAAAAACTCCAGCAAACCAACCGACCCTTATAACCCCGCGCCGCTTCAGGTGTATGACGTCATCAACGACTGGTCAAAGTCGACTCGATTTTCATTACTTGACTGTCGACTTTAAAAAAAATGAAGCCATGCAGCTCCTAGTGATTCGTGAGAGTAGGAAGATGGTGCTTACTGCTGAATGCATGTCTCATGCCTTTTCTTGTTGGGGGAAGTAGAAACACGGGTTTGGGTTTGAGGTGAAAAGTTTAACTCCAGATTCATTCAAACGAATTCCATCAGGCTGAAAAAAGTGCTTGCGATCCCAGAAGCAGTTGAACTGGTCAAAACAGGGGATGCTCTCCTTATCACAAGTGGATAACAGCCATTCTTTGAAAGCGTAGATTCGTGAGAAAAGTTCAGCTCTTCTTCCGATAGGTGGAAGGGGGCCGCTGATAATACATGATACACACATTTAGAAATGTATATACCTTACATACTATACATATTATTACTTAGATTAGCCATTTTTATATTTTGCTTGTTTTTACGTTGTATTTTTGCATAACTCTGTTGCTGTGAAGCTCGCACACAAGAATTTCACTCGCATGTACTGTACCAGTGTACCTGCACATGTGACATGACAATTAAAGTGATTTGATTTGATTATTTCCAGGGAGCTGAGTCATGTCAGCAGAGCGGAAAAATCATGCTTAAGGATTTCTGACTCCCTTCTCCTGATATCTTTAACACCAATGTGAATACTGAGGTTTTTCATGGATGCATCAGCGGATTTCACTGTAGTCTGTGTTCATAATGGATTAAGAAAGGACAGGAAAACTCAAATATATCATTATAATGAACATGTATAGATACTTTATCATACATAGCTACCAGCCTGTAACTCTCCCCCCAAAATGTACCAGACTGATGCATTTAAATATAAAATGTCCAGTCATTTTTTTCTGGGGGGGCCATGCCCCCGACCCCCCTAGAGTACTTTAATACTTATCATCTTTTTTACCTCAGAGAAATCTCAACACCCACACTTTTAAACACTGTGCGTGTGAACGGGTTATTCCACATTTTTCAGAAACAAGAATATTGACCTTAAAACCAATCTAAACCCGACTAGCGGCTGCGTGTAAACAATGTGAATTTCGGTCGTAGGCGGGACTAAAGGACAGTTTTCGTGTGATAATTTTCCACCTAAACTTGTCTTTTTAAGGTGTTCCTTTTTGAAGTTTTCCCCTCCAACTCCAACCTTGTCATACTGGAGCACTGTCGCTTGTGTTTCTGTTGTCTAGATTTCCTCAATGGAGAAAAACCTGAAGAACATGGAGGAGGAGAATAAACAGATAGAGAAGAGGAATGAAACCTTGTTTCTGGAGCTTTCTGGTTTAAGCCAGGCTTTAATTCGCAGCTTGGCCAACATTCATCTGCCTGCCATGGTGAGTAAACCAAACACACACCTGTGCAACGCCCAGATGCACATTTGTATGTCTGTGTCCTTTATGCTGTTTTTCTTGGAAACTAAATCTTCTATTTTTAATTATTATTTAATTGCTGAAGGTTACAGTAATCGCCTACTGCCTTTGTGTATTAACCTGGATTATTATTTTCTCATTTCTATGTATGGGATCAATGAAGTCTATTCTATTCTATTCTATTCTATTCCATTCTACAGCACCTCTGGTTTACGTTAAAATAGAGTGGGTTGTTAGTGTTCCACAGGGAGGAAAAATCCAAGCAGCATGTTCTAAGAGTGTTGTTGTCCTAGCCTGAACACAGAGTGAGCGCTAAAGGTTCAGTCGCTGCTATTAATAAAGCACCAAATCACGACAAGAGTCGTCTCAAGGACCTTCACATAGTAAACATTCCAGTACAGGTTAGTTCATTAAGCCAGTCAGTAAAATGTTTCCTATATAAGGAACCCAGCAGGGTGGATAGAGTCACTGACTCGTGTCAGAACCAAACAGGGTGAAGCTGATTTTAGCTACTATGCTGCAAACAGATGGGATCAGCTTCCTCATGACCACAAATGTTCCCCAACTCTAGTAGCATTTAGATCAAAATTGAAAACCTTCATGTTTTCATCACCCTTTGAATGAATGTTCTTATGCCTCACCCTCTGCACAGTGTTTGCTCACACTTTAACTCTAAATTTGTTTCTCTTTCATTTTTAAAAAGTATTTTTTGTCATGTTGCTTTTAATGTTCTTGTTATTCTTACTGATGGACGCACATTGACTTGCTGCTGCGTATGAAACGTGCTGTTGAGCTGACTCGCCTTTCTGAGGGTTTCAGAGCATTGTCGTGTAACGACTGGCGGCTTGTTTGTGTTCAACAGGAGCCTGTGTCCGAACAGAGCTTTGACAGTTATGTGGACACGCTGACCCACATGTTCACCAACAAAGACTGCTACCAGAACCCAGAAAACCGGGCTCTGCTGGAGTCCATCAACAAGGCGGTGAAGGGCATTGAGGTATGAAGGGTGGAAGAAGATGACTTTGGTTCTTAGATATTGTGTGGTTATTTCCTCTGTTTGGAGTTTTGTCCTCTGTTATTTGCATTAGATTTGGGTTTGGTGTGTAAGTCTGTGTGACAGCAGTAGTGTGAACAGATGTGTGAATGTGTGAAAACTCACTGGAGTCAGATTTGTGAGGGGGTGTTGCTGTGTAGCCATCCACAGAGAGCAGGAAGTAGCCAGAGCGGACTCTCCCAGGAAACATATCTCACTTTTATGGAATAATGTTGATAGTATTCTTCATGAGCATAGTGGTGTTCCCCTCCCTAAACTGGTTTATAGGCGTGTAATTACTTATGTCTTCTTCAAATGTTGGTCTAATAACTAACTCATGTCTGCTGCAATATTTTATGTTAACAATTTCTTATTTATTATATTTTTAAATTTTTTCTATACCCTGTCGAAAAAGATTTTAAACAGTAATCAATGGAAGGGGAGCACTTTCACGGCGCCGCTGAACAAAGAGTAAATATTTTAAATATCAGCTATGAATTGTTTTATATGGTTTATTTATTTAAAGTACTGGGATTTTTTTTATGTGCAAATATTTTGTAACTAACGGTTTTAAAATCATTTTGTAAAGAGTTTCTCTGCTTTTGTTTATTTGACTTTGTTTTTTATTTCCCCGAAAGATTTTGACTACATTGCAAAAAAAAAAAAAAAAAAAAAAGTAAGGACACTGAGCTGCACACCTTTGGTATTTATTTAATGATGAGGAACAACGCGATGGGTGAATATTTATTTTTTATTGTCTATGTGATAGCTGTAAATGAATTCGTCTCTGAGGTGCTTTTGAAATAAAAGTGAAACCATGATGAGTGTGTGAGTGTGTGTTGATGGTTATTCTTCACCCATAAAAGCTAAATACCTGAATGTAAAGGACAGAAAAAAGGAAAAGCAACGCTGCGTGTGTTCTGTCATCATTCCACACCAAATGAATTTGTGTGGCACATTTATGAAACGGCATGCCAGCTGACCAAAGTGCTGCACAGAGAACATAAAAACAACAAAACCGAGGTTGACCCTGATGCACATACAGAACAGCTGCACTCACACGGACCAAAGCAGGAAATAAAACCCATCTTTACAGACGAATCATAAAAGAACGCTCACCGACCAGAAGCTAGATGAAAGAACCCAAGTTTGATGAAATGACTTCAAGCTGAGCTGACCTTCATACTCATCCTATTTGTCACAGTTCAACAGGCAACTGTCAGTCGGTATCTGAAAAAGAGTTTGATTTCATTTTTCTACCGTGTTCGGTCAGAATGATGCCGGTCTGAGGCAACACGGCATTCTGCTGTTGGTTCGAACCTGTCTGTAGAGGTTCACCGACACACACCAGGTGTGCTCTGGTTGGTTCACATCGCTGCTCAGTTACAGCCAGCCGCTGACAATAACAAGGCAACGATGTTTATAAAGGATGTTTCCAATAGGGATGCTCGATACTGGCGTTTTTAGTCTAATGAGCTTTGAAAGAAAAGCGTCTGGACTTCTTTGAGTTGCTTGAAGACGTTTCACCTCTCATCCGAGAGGCTTCTTCAGTTCTAAGGTCAAATGGTGGAGAGTCCCAGATTTAAACCCAGTGGGACTTTCCCCCGAAGAGGGAACAAAAGACCCCCTGATGATCTTCTACATAAACACATGAGCCAAGGTGTGAGGGTGGGTGTGGGCCCTATTCAGCCAGAGTTTCGGGTGAGCTCATTGTGAAGCCTGGGTGACTGAGAACCTTCACAGACATTGGTGTTTTTACAGAGACCCGATATTGTCTAACTCAATGTCCAATACTGATATATGCAGGGTCCCCCAATAAAATAACAGAAAAATTAAACATTTAGGTTGCTAACCTCACACACAGTGCTCACCCCCTTATACAAATTCAGTCGCCCACTTAACAAAAGAACAATCTCCAGAATTTAACATTGTGAAGTTACTTAAATAATTAGATCACAAAATCTTCTGTTTTAATAAATTTGGTTGAAGCAAAAATGAACACACCCCACAACAAAAAGCACTACATCTAGTATTCTGTGTGACACCGTGATTTTCAAGGACAGCACCAAGTCTTCTAGGCATGGAATGAACAAGATGGCGACATGCTGCAACATCCATCTTTCCCCTTTCTTCAAGAAGAACCTTTTTTAGAGCCTGGAGGCTGGATGGAGAGTGAAGCTCAACTTGCTGCTTCAGAATTCCCCACAGGTGTTGGACTGGGTTCAGATCAGAGATCAGAGACAAACTCGGTCATTCAGTCACCTGTTCTTCTTCAGAAATGCAACAGCAGCTTTAGACGTGTGTTTTGGATCATTGTCGTGTGGGAAAAGTGCACGACGGCCACGTGTATCGCGTGATGGCAGCATCTTCTCCTTCAGTATAGAGCAGTTCATTGTTGAGTTCATTTCATCAATGAAATGCAGCTCCCCAACACCTGCAGCACTCATGCAGCCCCACATAAGGACACTACCACCACCATGTTTCACTGTAGGCACCATGCATTTCTCTGTGAAATCCTCACCTTTACGACACCATACCGTTTTGAAACCATTAGTTCCAAAAACTGTGATCTGTCTCATCACTCCAGAGTATAGAGTCCGAGTAGTCTTCATCTCTTTCAGCATGGGCCCTAGCGAATCCTTGGTGTGTTGTTTAGTGCGTGGGCTTTAGGAGAGGCGCCCTTCATGGACGATACCCTTGCATGCCATTCGTCTACAGTGTGCACCGTACGGTCACTCCAGTTTGGCTCTCTACTGGTTTAGCCGCTGCAGTGACCTTGCACGGTGATTTTATTCAACCCTTCTCATCAGACGACGCTCCTGTCGAGATGATTTGATTAAGTTTATGAATAGCACAAGTGATTTAAATGGCCTGTCTTTGTATAGCGCCTTCTTAGGGTTCTGTAAGCCCCCAAGGTGCTGCGCAACACAATCAGTCATTTACACATTCACACGCTGGTGATGATGAGCTACATTGTAGCCACAGCTGCCGTGGGACACACCGTAAGAGGCAAGGCTCAAGAGAACAGGCACCACTGGTCCCTCAGACCACCACCAACAGGTAAGGTGGGTAAGGTGTCTTGCCCAAGGACAAAACAGCAGCATTCTCTGGTGAGAGTCAGGATCGAACCTGCAACCTTACGATTATTGGACAACCCGCTGTTTCTCCTGAGGTAGAGATGTCCTAAAGATTAAAAACTAAACGTCAGGTCTGTTGTATTATAATATGTTGTGAGAGGAGGCAAACGCACACACACACAAGCACGTGAACACAAATACGAGCACACACGCAAGCACATGCACACGCGCAAGGACATGCACATGGACACACAAGCACACACACACACACACACACGAGGACATGAACATGGACACACCAGCACACACACACACACACACACACACACACACACACACACACACGCACGAGGACATGAACATGGACACACCAGCGCACACACACACGCGCGAGGACATGCACATGGACACACCATCACACACACACACACACACACACACACACACACACACACACACACACACACACACACGAGGACATGAACATGGACACACCATCACACACACACACACACGAGGACATGAACATGGACACACCAGCACACACACACACACGAGGACATGAACATGGACACACCAGCACACACACACACACGAGGACATGAACATGGACACACCAGCACACACACACACACACACACACACGCGCGCGAGGACATGCACACAGACACACCAGCACACACACACACACACATAAGGACACACACAAAGTGAGGAAAATTAATTTAATTCCAAAAAAATATAAAAACTTCCTTTGTGTCTCTGAAGAATGGCTTGTATTTACATCTACAGGCCCCTCCCTCCGAGGCGCTTTACAACACACCAGTCATTCACACACTGACGGTGATGATCTCAGCTTCTCTCTGACAGGAGCAAGGCTGCTGAACAAGGGCGCCCCCGGTCCCTCTGACCACCAGCAGGCTTTGGGCTCACAGAAAAGTCCATCTAGAGCCGAGTTTCCTGGTGTGGATCAGTTTGTTTAGCTGACCGAGGTGCTCAGGTGGAGCACCTCGGTCAGGAATGTCAGTCCATCTGCAAACATTTGGAGGAAGACCTGCTGTTAAAAATGGCAGCATACAAGCCACCAGACCGTTTGGCTGAAGGTTCAGGTGTTGGACTGCTGAGGACTGGAGGAAAGTCATCGTATCTGATGGATCCTCTTGGGGTTCAGAAAGCAACCTCACTCTGAACACAGTCCAGACTAGTCAAGATGTCATTTCTCCGGTGTCTGTGGCAAGCCGTTTACATTTCTTCTAATGTTCTTTCTCTGCGTGTAAAGTGGCGTTGTTGATGACCTGTGATCATTAGATATTGATGGAACTTCGGCTGACTGCTGGCCTGGTTGGAACAATGACGTTCCCACTTCCCTCATTGGTCGGGTAGGAGGACGAAGGTGTTGCAGGCGTTGGGGAAGGCGTGGTAGGCTGCTTGTGAGGCTGTGGCCAGACCGCCCAGACCCTGGAAGGAGTTGGCTGTGCTGTCTGGACCTGGACATTGCCTTGTGGCTCTGTGGTGTCTGCAGGATCCTGAAACATCCAGTCCAGTACCACTGGTGAGATTTGAAAGGGAGACTGTCCTGTGGACTACTTTCTCGGTGGTGAAGTGTCACTGGAGGAGAATGAACCTGGGGAATCTGTGCCTGGTGAGTTGTGCTGGAGCAGCAGCCTCGCCACATATCTGGTTTGGTCTGGCAAACGCCAGGTCTGTAATGAACAACACTTTTATCTTGAATGATGTTCACTGAACATGGACTGAGTTCAATGAGCATCTGTGACAGCTGAATCCCCGTGGGTGACTCAAGTGCACTTTTGGAACTAGTACCTGTGGACTGTAACTGTTTTAATGAACTGAGGTCATCAGGTTGAAGAGGTGGCCTAGTCGTTGTTTAAATTTTGTTTTAACAGGAAGCACTCCATCCGTGTCACCTGCTACGTTATTCAGACTCTGACCACCTCCTCCCCTACTCAATGCAGCGATATATAACCCACTGATGTACAATCCTGACTTTTTGACGGACATTTTAGACTTTATGGTTGACCATACGTTGAAATACGATTATGTTTCATTTCTTCTTTACTTTATGTTACACGTGTGCTGATAAGCCACCAGCCAAAGGTTTTTGAAATCCGCTAAACAATATGTCACGACGAGCAGGAGTGTACTCTTGTAGGAAAAGTTTCAAAGTTGTTCAGTTTTACTTGTGTGGTTAATTTTCATGTTGACTTGTAGTGACATGACTCATTGATGACAAAGTTTAAATGAAAAAAGGTGTCAGGTTTATTACAATCCGGTCCATGTTAAAATACAAGCACCGGTGGAGAACCATGCAGCCCAAAGGTGGTTCTGTCTTTCTGGCAGCTGACCACTGCTTATACCTCTACAAAACAGCCTCCCTAAAACTCCTAAGTTGGTATGGCACATTCCTAAGTTTGCTCATAATAGCAAAATGCTACTGAGTCTGCACCAGTCGCCTTATAATTTACACCTTCTTGACAACAGTTTCAGCTGTCTCCACAGCCACTAAGGTAGAATTCTTTCTTTGGGGCTCCGAATGAATTAGGAGGACACATTCTTTTTAAATTGAACACTCCCATCAAAATGGTGGTGCGGTCCTGTTTTCTAACATGTGCCGATAAAGCTGGGCTACTCTGATGCTCATTAATTATACAGAATTTTAGGCTTTTAATACACTTAAACCGAAGAGTGAGAAAAAAATTCACCCCCCTCAGAGTTGTCATGAGTGTAAACTAGATCATTTAAACCAAAAACATGTTCTGGTACCAGGCTGTAAACATGTTTATTTCTGCTGTGAAATTGGCATTTTTAACATGGGAGTCAATGAGGATTTGCTCGCTTCTGACACCAGCCCCTAGTGGATGAGGGTGGAACTGCAATTTTTGGTACTTCCGGGTTGAGACCAATTTTAGAGCCACATTGTGGGGGCTTGCTTTAAACATGTGCTCTGGCTGAGCAATTTGTGTGCTCTTGTGACCAGGTTCACACTCCTGTTATGATCACCCATTCAAACACGTTCACAATCACAAGTTATGCACATATTGCATAGCTTTTATTTCTTTTTACAGACTCCAGACAGCAGTTCAAGCAGTGGTGGCAACCTCAAAGATGTCTCGCATGGCTGTGGACTCTGTCTTTCTGTTGGAGACAACCTCTGACAGAGAATTGTACTGGGCTCATGTGTCTGTAAAAGCCACTGAAAACCGTAACGACCAAGAAAAAACAAATGTGTCATCACAGAATAGTCCACGGATCGCTCCCATAAACATGACTCCACTAACACAGGTGTCGTGGTGTTTGGGGGCCTTAATTGAACAAATTAATATCAATATAAGTCAATAGCTGAAACATTCGCGCATTTTTGACATTTTGACCGACAGTTTAAAAAAGGTCATGATCGTTTCTTCCTGTCATTTTCATTTCTGAAATAATAATAAATAACATTTACTATTTAGTTTTCAGTCATTTGTCATTAATATTTAGTCTTAAAAAAGCTGACCGGCGTGTTCATCAACATATTAATGTTACAATTTAAACAATTTCACCTGCTGCATGCTGGTTCTGGTGCTGGCCGGGCCGTGACCCACAGACGCTCCAAGCTGCTCTCACAGCTTCTCAGCGCGCTGATAGTGAGCTGCTCTGATCACGATGTCCAAGTCTGAGATAGCCTAATGCTCAGATGTTCTGATGGGAATCTTTTCTTGATTGATTTTGTTACCTCCGCGATGTTCTCTGTGCGTTAAAATGTCTGCAGACCTGCATGCGTCAGAGTGATTGCAGTCTGTCAGAATGAACAACAGCCTTGAGATTTCTCCGTCTAATTATACGAAAAATATTCCTAGTGCACCCAATTTGAATGTTATCGTCCCATTGAATGGTCATTATCATCCTCTGTCATCCCATTCAATGTGTGTGATGACAACTTTCTGGCCTCCTAGGAAGTCAGAAGGGACAGCCTTAATGGTGTGATCTGGCTGAACCTGAGCTGACTGTGACTGCTGCAAAAGGTGTTCTGCTATTCAATACCGCTGTCAGTGTTGACTCAAGGCATTTAACGGCCACATCATTATGAATAAGGACAGTGGTTTTCAATGTTGCAACTGTGTTTGCATTTGAAATAGTAAATTAAAAATGTACTATTTACTACTATAAATTACCTTTTCTTTTCTGTGAGGCGAACCTTACTGAATTGACTGAATTTTCAATTAAGTTCATTTAATAAATGTAATGCTTTAATTCTAGTCAGACAAAAAGTCATTATTGTAAAAAAAAAGAGGAGAAAACAGATCTGTAGGACTGTCTTCCATGTGAAGTTTTCAGAAACATTTGGAATGTGACCTACGTTCATCTAATGCATATGATTGTGGAATAACAGGCTCCTTGCATACTAGTGTAACAAGCCTAAAACACGTGTTGGGACTATTATGGAAGTTGCTTTGGTAAAAAGAACCTGTAAAATACACAATTTATTATAAAACACACATTTGCATCCATTCATGGAACACATTTCATATCATCTTTAGACTGTAGTGCTGCCCAAATATAGCTGTCTCACACAGGGGCTCTCAGATACAAGATAAGAAGGTCTTCAACATGTGGAACCACACCAATAAACCAAACACGGCGAGGCGAGCTCTCACGCAGGGAAATGTTCAAAAGTTGGCAGCTCAGTGAAAAGCAACCAGTGGGCCGGCTCCTTCAAAGGAAATGCTTTGATGTTCTGGTCCATTTTACAACTATGTTCTATTCCCTCGTGCTCCTTCCTGTTCAGAATGGATTTAGTCCCGTCGTGTTTTGTTCTAATCTGAGGGGAACAAAGAGAACGTGCACACTGAGATAATCTGACGAGGTAGCAAAAATCGCCACAACACCCACAGAGCGGCGGGTTGTCTGTGCGCGCTCCCGAGACCGAGCAGGCAAATCTCAGCAGGCACGCATTTCTAGCAACCACCGGAAACCTCTCCTTGAAAATGGAGTTACACCGGAAATGAATAGACGAGTGAGCCGGAAGTTCTTTCATTTTAGCTGAGGCTCGAACACTGCTGCTTTTACTCTAAATAAGTGGTTTAAATGTTTAAGGTCCGCGGAACCAGAGGAGGTCTGCGACCGCTACCTGCTGCGTGTGTCCTTGGTTCGGGAGGGAGCTATGTGGACGTGAAGAAACTCTAAAGCTATGTTTTTAGCATTTATTGTGTACTTGAGCATAGAGGTTAAACGCAGCTAAATCCCTTTGTTTTCCTGCAAAAAGGTAAAACAATTTAGGTGATGAGAAGGTAGCTGAAGGATATCTATTGTGTCTGACGCCGATCAGGAAAACCCAGCCCGCCGAAGGTAAGATCAGCTCGTGTTTGGTTCCGTCTTCTGTCAGGTGAGGTTCATTTTAACGTGAAGAAGATCACATCCTCACGTGTGTGTGTGTGCATTCACGCGGTTCAGCTAACGCTATTATAATATGAATAAATACGTAATCCTTTATTTGAGTTAGGCCAGGATATAATCTGATCCCATTGGAAAACTAACTAAAGCTAAAAATGGGGCTGGCTTTAATAAAATGGGGACCTGCTTTATTATTTAAATCTGGACAGATTATATCAGCCGCTATGTTTCTGACCCAGACACACGGTCATCTAACCAGTTCATACCTGTCCCCACAAGAGTCGAACATGTGTCTGTGAACGATGCAGACAACACCTGGAGACCCCCCAGTGGATGCTTGCGCTGATTCTGATCTCGTCTCTCCTGCAGCTCTTCAGTAGTAGCTGTCTCTGGGCCCACATGATGACGTCTCAACAACCACAGCTCCAGAATGCTGAAATCCCATCCCGGCTAGCCCAGAACCCCTCCGCTCAGCAGTTCCAGCCCCATTTCCATCCTGTTGGGATGGAGTCCAGTCAGAGCGGAGCAAACCCGGGCCCGTTTGGATATCGAGCTTTAATCACCAGGCCTGGCTGCCCTAGTGTGTCAGCTATCAGTGGAGAGGTGGCCAGTAGGAAAACGTCTGACCAGTCTAACAACTCCAGCATATCCAGAAGAGAATGGCACTTTGATCCCTGGCCTGAGGAAGAAATTGAGAACTCCCACGGTCTATACTCACTGCATCGCATGTTTGACATAGTTGGCGCTCAGCTGACACACAGGGATGTCCGGGTACTGTCCTTCCTGTTTGTGGATGTGATTGATGAGTATGAGCGCGGTGGCATCAGGAGTGGTAGAGACTTCCTGCTTGCCCTGGAACGGCAGGGTCGCTGTGATGAAACCAATTTTCGGCATGTTCTCCAGCTTTTGAGGATAATCACCCGCCATGACCTGTTGCCTTATGTCACGCTGAAGAAACGGCAGACTGGTGAGTACACAGGGTCACCAGCAGAGTTTAGGTACAGGTGTATACTAGATCAGGTGGGCAACTTCTGTCCTCGAGAGCTTGCTATCCAGCATGTTTTGTTTTTTTCCCCTGCCACAGCACACCTGATTTTAATCAGCAGCTGATTAACAGGCTTCTGCAGAGCTGCTGAGCAGGTGAATCCAGAGTGCTAGAACAGGGAAACAACTAAAACATGCTTCAACAGCTGGCCACATGTCTCTGCAGAGCTGTTTTCAAAGTAAGGCCTGGGAAAATGAACTTTGCATCAAGCATTGTCTGCAGTTATTCCCACAGCTTTGGAGAAACTCGTAAAATATGTTCATATGAACAGCTCTACCAATGAGGGTAACTTTGGTGAGCATGCATTATTCAACATGGGCAATTTTATCCAAAAACCACTATTTCCACATGCTGTTGTGGCTAAATGAGTGAGAAATCTATCAGTGTTTGGGCTCTGTAGAGTAGAAAGTAACAAGATAGACATAAAACACTTCAGTGTTTCTCTGATGCCTCACAACCTCAGCGCTGTTTGGGTGGCAACACCTCATCATGTGTACTATCTAATGTTCCTGAGGAGGAACCCTCCAGTGGGGTTCAGGCCAGGCTGAAGGACCGTTCAGTTTATTTATGTTGCACAACAAGAGTCGTCTCAAGGAACTTCACAAAGTAAACATTTCAATTGAACCTTCTTATCAGTGCATAGAGCTCAGATCATTATTCCAGTTAGTTAAGGGTCAACAACTCTATTCATATTTTAATGTGTTTACTGTGGCCTCTAGTAGGAAGGAAATCCCTGTAAATCATAATCTGGGAGAAAATGCTCTGGTGCTCCAGTTTCTGCACAGACAATTCAGCCTGAGGAGAAAGTAGTGCAGGATTTGGTGTCTGAATCTCTGGTATTTGGACATCTCTCCTCTGATTGGCTAACAGCAACACGACTCTACCACTAATTCTGTTTGCTCTCCACCAATAACACAAGCTTGGGAGGAGTTCTGCTGTGTGGTGGAGTTTCTAATGCTAACACTTAGCTTCTACTAGCCGAGAGGTTCTCTGCTGTTTCCTGGACGCTAAAAGCCTTCTCCTCCGTCGTGAGTCGAGATGGGCGAGTCCATGAATGTTAGTGACGGTGTGACGTCGATCTGTTAGGATTTTCTAATCCTAGAGTTTTGCCGTCTATTTTCTATCAAAAGCTCGTGCAGGAGATAGGTGTAGGAGACTGTTTTCATGTTCAGCATGCATGAAAAACTAATCAGAAATAATCACTAAAAATGTTTTCAGTGAAGTTGACCTTTAAAAATTTCATACCTAAGAAAACCCAGCAGATTGCATCAAGTCACTGACTTGTTGTGTTAGTGTTTTTACAGCAATCCTCATACTAAGCAAGCATGTAGCGACAGTGGAGAGGACAACTCCCCTTTAACAGGAGAAACCTTCAACAGAACCTGGATCAGTATGAGCAGCCACAACTCTCTGGGGTTTGAGAAGACAGAACATCTGACTGACGACTCCACCACAAGATGGTGGAGCTTCCAGGAGGATTTTTGTTTTAAGGCAGGAACCCCCAGAGAATAATCCAGTAAAGTCCAGAATAATCCAGAACAGGAGGGAAACAGATGCCAGGAGATGGTAGTAATGTCATCTCTGGCAACAAGGACTTTCTGGTGGAACTCAGCACATCGTCGAAAACACACAGACAGCAGTGTTTCCCCTAGAAAATCTGCAGTGGCTATAAAAATAAAAGAAAAATTGAATTTGGATTAATCTGAACAGTTAGCAGTCTTAACCGCTCTTTGCTGTCATGAAACAAGTCGTCACCTCAGATCTTCAGAAACCCACAGCATGAACAGCCAGCCAAGTCTGTATATTATGATTAGACATGAAATTACACTGAAGAAAAATACAAACGCAACATTTTTTTTGCTCCCATTTCTCATGAGCTGAACTCAATCATCTGAAAATTTGTCTACATGTGTGTTAGTGAGTACTTTTTCTTTACCAAGATAATCCATCCCACCTCACAGGTGTGGTATATCAAGGGGCTGAGCATGAATAATGTACAGGTGTGCCTTGGACTGCCCACAATAAAAGGCCAGCTTGACATGTACACAGTTTTAGGGCTGCAGCTGTCGAATATTTTTGTAATCGAGTACCCTATCGAATCTTTTATCGATTAATAGAGTACTCTAATAAATTACCCTTTTATGTTTGTAAACCATTATATCAAATAGCATGTTATAAAATATGAAAGACCTCTTAAAATGAGCAAGCAGTTGCCAGTTATTCTTCAAGTTTTATTCAAAATTAGTTTTCAAAACTTCAGCACTTCAACTTTACTTCACTGTAAACAAATGCGAGCGGCTGCGGCCCAGATGGCACCAGAACCGCTCACGGCGCTTGTGCAAACATGGCTCGCCAGCTGTTTCCCTATTAACACACGTCCGTTTTAATTTCTACACTTTTTCTCACACTAACAAGGATTGTCGAGAAAGCACGTTTGCCATGGTTATGTCAAATTATACTGATCACAAAACATTTATTTACTTTCTTTTGTTTTCCTCTCATAAATCCTCCTGCAACGATCCAATAACAACACAGTAAAAAGTCTGATGTGTTTTAAAAACTGCTATTTTTAGCACATTTTAAGACCGAGGTGTTGCTACCAGATGTACGGTGTGAGCTGAAACTGAGTGCTACAAACGAAAAAGTCGCACAGTGTCCGCAGAATATATAGAAATACAGGCTAAAATGCATTATCTTGTAGAGGCTCCGAGTCCGCTTGCAGAAGTGACATTTACATGTGGATGTTTCCTGGTCAGGTGCTGCAGCATGGAGGATGAGGTGTTGTGGTAGGCTAAATCCATTTTACAGTATTTACACTGGACTACCTTTTCCGCCTTACGACGTGAAAAATGGTCCCACAACTTTGACATTTTCTGTCTTTTTCGCACTCCACCGGGGTCCACGTTGTCCGCCATGGCTTCAGAGAAAGTTAAGTTACATTCGCTTCTCGCGTGGGCATTCAGAGCAGTGTGTATGTGCGCCACTTATTTCGGTCCGGGTGAAACATGACCCCGGGCGATTGCAAAGCCATGAATTAATTAAACATGAATTAAACAAAGCCTCGAGGCAGAGAATTTGACTGGCAGGAACTGGAACACGCTGTCGTATACGCCGATCCAGAGCAACCCAAATAAGCTCAATGGGTCACATGTCTGGTGAGTATGCTAGTCATGCAAGAACTGGGATGTTTTCAGCTTCCAGGAATTGTGTACAGATCTTGCGATATGAGTCCGTGCGTTATCATGCTGCAACATGAGGTGATAGTCGTGGATGAATGGCACAACAATGGGCCTCAGGGTCTCGTCATGGTACCTCTGTGCATTCAAAATGTCCTCAATAAAATACACCTTTGTTTGTTGTCCATAACATATGCCTGCCCATACCAGTACCCTGCCGCCACCATTAGCCACTTGTTCCACAGCGTTGACATCAGCAAACCGCCCACCCACACAACACCACACACTCAGTCTGCCATCTGCTCTAAACACTTAAAACCAGGACTGTGAACAGAATGCCTCTCCAATGTGCCAAACGCCATCGTGTTTGCCCACTCCAGTCGGTGATGACGACGAACTGCAGTCAGGTCCAGACCCCGATGAGGAACAATATTGAGCTTCATGGGTGTTTGGTGCACGTAGAAAAAGTTTCAGATGTTTGAGTTCAGCTCATGAAAAATGGGAGCAAAAACAAAAGTGTCGTGTTTATATTTGGTTCATTGTACATGCATGCACACCAACATAGTCTCGATCATAGTAAATGTGGGCCTTATGTGAGTTAAGCCTGGCGGATTCGGCCGTCAGAGCGGGGGTGGGGGTGGGGTGGTTGCACATGTTCTGCTGCTCTTTCTCCCCAGTATCAGCTGATGGAGGGCTCTAGTTTTGTTGCGCCTTTCGTGTCAGTGGTCGGGGAGGGGGGCGGGGCATGACGCTTAGCCTGGCGGGTGGCCAAGCAAAGCCTGGTGGGCCGCCAGGCTTATAAAGCGCTGAGGGAAACCCTGATTTTGTGTCTTCAGAGGCGTCTTGGTGTCTTGTGATATGGATAATGCAGAAGTTGAGATATTCATAAATGACTCGTGGTGTCAGGGAGGCACGACCTGTACGTTAAAGAAAGTTAACCCACGGTCATTTGATGAAACACATGGTCTTGGCCATGCTACATTGCATGAGGTCAAAAATCTGAAATCCCTGCAACATGAGGGACAACCGGACAGCTTCATCATGTCAGATTGATGTCAGCACACCTGCTGCATTAATCACAACTAGCAGCACATGCACAACTTTAAACCAGATTACTGGGATTATGTGTAAACTCTGGGATTATTCCTAGTGAATGTGATGATCTTTCATTCTTTTGTCATTTTGATATGTTTTCAGTCTGTCCCGACCCTGTTGACCAGTTCCTTGAGGACACTTCAGTGAGTTACATTTCACCACGGGGGGCAGAGCAGTCCAAGGACCCTGTCACTCATAGAAGAACAGGTGTGTGTGTGTGTGTGTGTGTGTGTGTGTTTGTGTGTGTGTGTGTGTGTGTGTGTGCGCGCATGCATGTTCTTGTGCATCATAGCAGAAATGGTCTGTGAGTGTGTTTTCTCTTCATACCCCATCGGTGTGGAACAATCTACTTGAAGAGAGAGGTTAGATGCCAAGCTTTTTACCCAAACATGTGTCCTGATGTCCATTCTTAGATTTACTGTAGCTCATTTATGTTTTATTTGTTTATAAAATGCACTTTGTTTTGTTCTGTACTGTATTTATCTTTCTGCTTTTCAGTGCTTTGTTTGAAACTACTTTATAAATGAAGTTATTATTATTAGTAGGTGTAGACGATATATATTTTGGCTGATATATTGGGCCGATATTTGTCCTTAGTAAAGCTGATTTAAAGTCGGGCACGTCCTCGGGAAGCCCAGTGCTGTTGCAGAATTCAATTTAAATGTATTTTTAGGTTCACGAATAACATCTGCATAGTAAATACTCTAAATAAACTTTATTTAGGTGTCTGACTTTAACACTGAGCAGTGCACCAAGTTAGGATTTAACAGTTCGTTATGGTGCACGTGATTTGTCCTTGGAAAAATCAAACAAAACGCCCCACAAAGTCGGACCTCCAAGTCGGCTCTCCATATCAACAGCAGTAACTTTTGGGTGAAATGTGTTTATCTTACAAGACACGCTTATAAGAATGTGTTTTCAGTCAATGTTGCATGTAGTTCTTGCAACTCTTAAGTTGAACATAGTAAGAGTGTTGCTTGCATGTTAAACATACAGCTTAAAGTTATGTTATTAAGAAGAATCTACAAACAGTGGCTACTTGGGAAGTGGGCGTTGCCATATTGTAATCCTGACTTCTCAGACTACTCTTACTCCACCTGCACCCCTGCAGAGCCCTGTGACCTCCACCAGCTTCTCCAGAGAAGCTCCAGTCAGGTCTTTCAGCACCAGCAGTCCCTCCTGCTTAATAAAAAAACACAACCAGGGAGGATCAGGCCCAGATCTGCAGCCTCACAGCACAAAAGAGATTCTTCAGGAAGCTGGATGGTCAGCGTGTAGATGAGGGCGTTAATCGTGAGCTCTGCTCAGTCCAGAAAGAGCTGCTGACGGGTCGTGTAGCACACCGAGCCAGCTTGGTTACTCACTGTGTGGTGTTCCACATGTCTGGATGTCAGATGTGCACTCCTTATCGCTCTGAGAATCAAACGGTATAAAACTGAATAAATACTGTTTTTGTGTGAGAATATATAGATTTAAACAGAATAAAACGTTACCTTTTACCACGTACACAGGAAAGTCTGGCACCCCTCTCTGCCTGGCAGTTGAACAACTCTACACCAAGCTTTACTAAATTTCCCTCCAAGAGGCTCTCACAGCTGGTCCTCACCCGGGAAACCACCGGAAGACAACTGAAACTTGGAGAAAGACGTAACTGAAGTTGAGTTTAAAAAACATTAAAGAACACAAACCACCCCGTTCACCTTGTAATGACAGATGTCATGAGTTCCAGCTGCTCTGCTTCAGACAGAAGCTTCTCCTCTGCCATCATTGCCTCAAACTAAGCATCCTTAGGCCAGAGATGTGCTGGAGCAACAGGAGAAGGAGGAGGTGCTGCAGGAGAAGGTTGTGGGTTCCTCAGCCACTCAAACATCCCGCTGGCCAGACCACAGGCCAGCATGCAGAGGGTGAGCAGGAGGTGTGGGAGCTGGCAGCTCATGACTGGATCAGTACAAAAGAGAGAGGAGTAAATACTGACATGTCACTGGCTATAGAAGGCATTACTGTTGATGGAATGAGGGAAATTAAGGTTTTGGGGTCATAAACGTATTAATGGTATAAAAATAGCAAAAGTAGTTGCTATAGAGCTCCGGGAGTTGACGTCACTTCTCCCGGCATGCAACAGTTCAAATCGAAACGGCGCCATCTTGGCAGGCAGAAGCCGGCAGCTGGACTATTTGTTATTGTCAGAAAACTCAAACGGGAAAGATGGTAGATTCCTGTTGTGCCCCAGGATGCAGAACAGACACGGACGACATAAGGAATGAGCCGTCTACAGGATTCCCCAAGATCCGGAGCGCCGCAAACGTTGGATCATTGTAATAAAACGCGCTAGTGACCGGGCTAAAATGAAGCTGTGGGATCCCGAGAGTAAAGGTTTTCACTTATGCAGCGACCGCTTCATATCAGGTACTTAAACCAACGTTTCCTCAACTGTGTATGGTATTTATTTTAAATGATTTTATTATGATTCTTAGTGGGCTTCCTAAACTTATTTTGGCGTGGCTTTTTCTGTCTTATTACTCACAGCAACAAGTAAACATCACGTAAAACGTTGCCTCGTGAGTTCTGCGTGCTGCCGTTTACGTGTTTTATGATCACAGCAATTAACCGGCTAAGCTGTATTTAATTTTTAAGCAATGGTTGATCAATTGTCAGATCACACATAAAAAGCACTTTGGATTGCTATTATCTGTCTCACCGGGACAGATCTCAGACAGATCCTGAGACGCTCCTGTCTGACATATTTATTTTATTCACGGAAAAAAAATCAAACTAGTGATTTCTCTTGGTGTTCAGTTTATACATTCAAACAGCACAGCACTCTATTTAAACTTCTTACATGTAAATCTGTTATTTGTCCATCCATTTTCATCCGCTTATCCGGAGTCGGGTCGCGGGGGCAGTAGCCTAAGTCGAGAGACCCAGACTTCCCTCTCTCCAGCCACTTGGACCAGCTCCTCCGGGGGGTCCCAAGGCGTTCCCCGGCCAGGTCCGGTAAGAAGTCCGCTCCGACAGCTTCTGGCGTTTTTAAAAAGTATCCCAGGGGCACGGTAAGGGTCGGAGATGTTTAGTCTATTTTATTTCTGACTATATAAAACGATTTCTTCGGTTTTAAAGTGTGAAGTAAACTCCGACGAAGTAAAATCCAAGCCGACCCCGTTCGTTTTGTTTACCTTTGTTGCCTGCCAACATGGCGTCTACTCTTTGAGAGTCACGTGACGTCCGGAGCTCTATAGTAACCAGAGTAAATGAGTCTTTGAATTATAATGTCTTATATACCGTATTTTCTGGAGTATAAGTCACACCAGCCATAAAATGTATAATGAAGAAGAAAAAAACATATATAAGTCGCATTTTGGGGGGAAATTTTATTATTTTTCTTACAAAATCTGAGACCAAGCACTTCACATTGCAAGACAAGTACCGGTAACAATAACAGAATAACCAGCTGTTGCATCAGCGGTATGCGCAACAGCACGCCACGGTCTCCAGCAGGTGATGGCGGCGTTTCAAACCCAGCGGGAGGGGAGAGCTCATTCCTGGGCCGGAGCCGCCTGGCCCGCAGCAGCTCGCAGCAGTCTCCAGCAGGTGATGGTGGGGCAGAGGAGCTCATTCCTGAGTCGGAGCCGGCCGGCAACAGCGCAGTATACATAATTTGACATAGAAGTCGCAGGACCAGCCAGACTATGAAAAACAGTGGGGGGACGACCAGGTCCTTAGTCAGCTTCAAGTTGCGAACATTTTTCCACTAAGTTTTCTTTCATAAATCCCAAAGTTTGCGTGGAAAGTTGCTTACACAGTTTTCCGACCCTGTTTTGTGCGTAAGCAAGCTCGATAAATGCGGCCGCTGGTCCATTAAACCTGAACAATAAAGGTCACGATAACATGATTTTAGCAGTGGCGGCCCATGTATTTGGGAACTGCTGCAGTACTTGGTGCAAGAAAATAAGTAACAAGCAAAACTTAGATTTAAGAAATAAACACAATGAAATGCCTCCTATAGGGAGACAATAGTTAGAGAAGCAGCTATATACAAGTCAGTGTAGGTGCTGGTCAGAGCGGATCAGTTCAGGTGCAAACACAACACTAGGGTCATGGGAACAAAGCAGCTGGACTGGGCAGTTCTACGATTGACATTCATGAGTTCATGAGAACGCAGACGGGAAGAGACTGTTTTTGTGGCTTAAGGTTCTGGTCTGAATGGATAGAAGTCTCCTGCCAGATGGCTAAAAATGTATTTATTAATTAATGGTTTTATGTGTAAATAAAATTAATAACACCAACGTTGCTGATTATTTATAGGCAAAAACCATCCTCCTCTCTGCGCAGGAAGACTTCAATAACTTTGTCATAGAGCTGTTTAGTTCCATCAGTAAGTCCCTTTATGGCCATGGAGGCCAAGGCTGAGAGTCGCCTCTGGCTGAGATAAACTAGTAACGGTGTAACAGCCCATGTCTGTCACCTGGTGCCTATCGGCTTTGGTTGAACTTGTTAAATTACTTATATGTGTGACATACAGTTTGGAGGTTATTGTCTTTATTTTTGTTGCTGATTTCTGTGACCTAAGAGAAGGACAGCATCACGTTGAGTATTGTTTTATTGATCGTTTTGTCTGCCTGACTTCTATAAGAGGTGAGTTAGGAGACACGCCCCGCCCCCGAGAGTGGTACTCCCTCACCTGTCTGGAGGACGCTGGAAACAGGAGGAAGTGAGTTTTGATCGGACGCTGCCAAGCGGTGTTATGGACTAAGGATTATCGCACCTACGACTAGGGAGAGGCTAGCTGACCTATGTGACTTATCTGATGTGCTGGAGGAGTAGGCTGGGAGCGTTTGTTCTGGTGAACCGCCGAAGCAGCGGCCTGTCGGGACCTCAGCGGTACCGTGAGTAAACAGCTGATCGACGCAGCGGTTGCTGCAGCTGCTGTGTACTGAATCAGCGATAATCTTAGTTTTTTTTGCTGAGTATATTATGGACGCACATTTTTCTTTTCTGAACTGAACTGAATTTATCTGAACTGAACTGAATTTATCTGAACGGAACTGAATTTAATTGAACGGAACTGAATTTAGCTGAACGGGACTCTCGGACCTTTCCATTAATTTTTATATATGTTGTTGCAAAAGATCTGATTTAATACACCCCCGTTTTTGCCTTTTGCTTATGTGATTATTTGGGTTTGTTTGTTTCAGTCCAGGTTAGGGTGATAAACACTTCAAATTGTTTACATCCTTTGTGTTGTGAAGTGAGTGTGAGTTACAAGGGAAAGTTGTTAATAATTGTATTTATTTCTTATATGTCAGGAGAGAGACCTGGCTGGCACCCCGATTAAATCCCTTAGTTACACCTGCTTCCGTCACAACGGGTTACGCTGCCTCTCCTAATGACATCCAGTTTCTATGAAAAAGTCCGTCTTGAAGATGGAACTGAAATAATCCCTGAAACCAAATTAATTTCTTCTTCTCCGTTAGCCACAGTTTGCCATCTGTTGACAAGTGATGATAATGTTGGTGGGACGGCTGTTGTCGAGTTTTACTCATAATACACTTGCAGACAGTTGTGGAGATCCACTTGTTTTGCAGGTCATAAAGCTACATGTGAGAGTAAAAATAAAGCCAGTCATGCAGCTCAACATTTTATCCAATATTTAACAGCTGCTACATCACTAAAGTCAGTCGGTCTTGTAAAGTTTTGAGCAACCATGGCTCAATCCTGACCAGGGCAACCTACATAAACCCTAAATAACCCTCCCACTCTCCCATCGGGTGACCCCTTCAGGAAAGATGACCGTTGAGCAGGGTTGATGGTTTCCCCATGAGGTCCACTTGGCAGGGGTGAGATGGTGCTACTCCTCACCCCACCCATGTGGACCTCAAGGGAAAAACCATCAACCCTGCTCAACGCTCACCTTTTTCTGGGAGGGATAAGATATATTTTTTAAAATGGACCCCATTCTTTCTTCTTTGAACACAAGTTATGGAAGTGCTTGTCTTTTCTAGCATACTTGGTTTGTGTTAGAGCTGCTGTTCCCTCTCATCTGCCTCGTTGCAGGAGTGCAATAAAGAGGTGACGGGAAGATGCAGGTCCCATCGGCAAAGCAGAGAAAAGCTCTGGAGCTGAAATAACAGCCTGTTTGTAGCCTGTTATTCAACGAGACAACATGGTGGAAATGCTTCTAGTCTCTTCCCCAGAAGTCGTGACTGGCCTGTGTCTTTGCCTCAAGCTCACAATTAGAGTGGGTTTCCAGCAACCCAGGGAAAACTGTCGGTCCGTAACGTGCAATGTTGAAGCTGGAAAAATAATAGTGTTTTTTTTATTTATTTTCTAGGGAAAAATCTTTGTATTAAGCTGCATTTAAAAAAATAAAAGGTGTTTGTTTTATGTATTGTTGGTGTTGTATGTTATGTATGTATGTTTTTTCAGTAATAGTGTTTGGGATTCAATTTCTGAATGGTGAAGTTAATGTCACTTGAGGCTTACGCCATAATTTTTAATTAGTGACGGTAGTAACGTACAACGCGGTCAAATGTGGGGAAATTTTAAAGGGACTGAAATTTGGATACAACTCTAGCCTAGTTAACAGCTTGTTTCTTCATCTGAGAAACTCTTGAGAGCGGCGGTGGGGTGGACTACCACAGCACCGCGCTCTTGCTCTGCCAGGTAACGCCTCCTTTAGGTGCATTTATCAAACAGGATGTGTGGGTGGAGTAAGACTCTGATAGGGGTGACTTGCTCTTTAAACTCATCTGTGTTTAAAACTAAACATTAAAATGTTTTTTTTGTTTGTTTTCATCTCTAAACTGAAAACAGGCCTGGCTCATGGGGGAGGAGGGTTGCTGTTATCCCTCCCTAAACTGTGTTGTGCTTTATGAATTCTGTTGCGTCAAAGATTGATCTTGTTAATATTTGATGTTTCTCTTCAGGGCCTCACCCGGTCATGTGTTGCTCCTCAGCTGGACCGCCTGTTGGTCCTGCTCCTCGCACAAAGCCGGCTCCTCCTCCATCCCACCGCAAAGGCAAACGTAGTCACTCCTCAGTCGACTGCAAAGAGAAGCAAACTTGTGGTAAAAAGAAACAAAACGGAGAAGATCACAGCTTTTGTTGGGTTTACTTAAACGACACCAGAGGGCCAGGTTCACGCTCAAACCAGGTCATGTGAGAACCCGCAGACAGAGCAACTATTCAGTTCTGTGGGAAAAGATGAAAGGCCACAGAATATTAGAATTATTATAGTTTTTACAGAACATTATAACCATCCATCCATGAAAAAAACCAAACAAATTCACGAGCGATCGTTCAATGAACGCGTTCGGGCACAACACGGCATATGGAGACCTTAATGCCTGAACACGGTGTTCATTACGGACAATCCATGACGAGCACAGTCCAAGTCCATTAACGAGACACCACTCGGATTCAGACCACAGTCCTCCAGGTCTCACTGTTGTTGCCCACGTGAGCCTTGAATACCCCCAGGAGAATGAGTGCTCTCCAGCGCCCCCTCCAGGGACTCCAAAAAGGGTGGTGGTCTGGTGTGCAGTGTTGTGTGTAAGCACAAACCACAGTCAGGACCCGTCCCACCGCACATATTTGGAGGGAGGCCACCCTCTCGTTCACTTGGGGTAAACCCCAACGTACAGCCAAGGTCCCTGCCGTTGACCACCACCCATCACACAGTGTACTCGACCCCGTTGGCCCCTCCCATGGGTGGTGAGCCCATGGTGAGCGGGACCCACACTTAAGAGTCAATAATGAAAGACACTTGTCCACAGAGAGGTGCTGCTTAGAGTCAGGTGATATCAGAGACCAGTAGTTGCTGCCACAGGTGCATCAACACTCAGCAACTTCTCAGGTTTTTATTTCTTACATATGTCAAATAAACCTTTTACATGTAGACATTATTGGATGCTGTGTTTGAATTTAGAGGAAGAAAGAACAGAATCCATATTAGAATAACACTTGGAAGACGTGGTACTGTCTAGGTGGTGATCTGTCTGTGACCAGATCAAACCTGTCCTGTGTGGTTGTTCGAAATCAGACCAGCTGGTGTGTTTTAGTGTTGAGAACAGTCAAACCCAACAGATGTATTACTTCAAATTCCCGTCTTTGATCTTCTTTTTCAGACATCCGTCTTCGGGTTCGTGCGGAGTATTGCCAGCATGAGTCTGCTCTTCAGGGCAACGTCTTCTCCAACAAGCAGGAGCCAGTGGAGCAGCAGTTTGAGCGCTTTAACCAGGCTAACACCATCCTGAAGTCCAGAGACTTGGGCTCCATCATCTGTGACATCAAGTTCTCTGAGCTAACCTACCTGGATGCCTTCTGGAGGGACTATATCAACGGGTCGCTACTGGAGGCCCTCAAGGGGGTCTTCATCACAGATTCCCTCAAGCAGGCCGTGGGCCACGAAGCCATCAAGCTTCTGGTGAACGTTGATGAGGAGGACTATCTGGCTGGCCGTCGCAAGCTCCTTTGTAATCTGGTCACAAGTGGAGAGAATCCACAGCTTGGTAACAGAGACTCAGTATCTTAGATGAGTTGGACGGATGGGAGCAGCACCCCCCACCCTGGGCTAGGGCGAGACCTGCTGGAGAAGAACTGAAGAACTTTTAGCAGAACAGTTAGTTGTTTTTAAGCCTATCTGATAGGGCACCTGCGTGCATGGCGAGGTAGAGGTAACAGCCACACAGGTAACGTGCTGGGCGGAGCTAAACGTGTTTCTCCTGTGTTGTATGTTTTAAACTGTTGATGTCCTGCTTCCACGTCAAAAGGAAGCAGTTTTTAAATAAGAGTCGGATACTCTGCATTAACCACTTTCTCCCAGTGGGGAGTCATTTAACCAGTCCCACCAGTTCATTTGTTTTCCATTTTGATAATTAAATGGTTTGTTTTACTCAGACTGGGACTTTAGCGTCCTCATAAACAGACAGAGATGTCCTAACTTTTGTCTTGGCAGGTAATATTATTATTAATAATCGTATATTAACGTGGCTTTTAATTGGAACGTCATAAAGTTCCCTGAACCTTTTATAGATCAATCTGAAACGAGACAAACGGACAGCTCCGTAGATGAATGAACATCCAGAATTATCAGATGTTTGTGTGAATTACAACCGTAATCCAGCCACACGTTGGTGTCGTGTTTGGACAAATGTCTGATGCTTTTAGTCAAAAACGTCCCGGAAGGCTCTTGACAGGAAGTTCTAATCTGATGTTCAACTCGGATCAGAATGGTTTCAGTCTCACGCTTCATCACTTATTCCAAACCAAACTCTCCACCTTCATCAGTCACCTCCTCATGTGCTGAAAGTCTTAAAGTGTTCATTGCTAGTAGATGATGTCGTGGTGATGACGTCATCTTTGCATCAGTCATGATGGTTTTTGCGTTTTGTTTCCCTTCTGTTCTGTGTGCTCACATATAAAGTGTACTAATATGGGTCGACATGGCGTAATTCCCAATAAAGATGTTCTTCACATGTTTTTCTGTCTTATCTGTAAGGCAGATGCACGCATCTCTTCTGAGTTCCTGTTGGTGTTTGCTCTGAGACCCGGTGCAGGCTAATATCTGGACTCGACACAAACATTTGATCATTATTGGGTTCTCGTAAAAACAAGAGTACATAATGTGTTTCAGACCAGGGAAAGCATATAGAAACATGAACAAATGCAAAGCCCTGTTGTTGGGGTTGATGTATGAATAAACTAGACCAGGAGATGCAATACTCCACAACAATATTGAAGGCCATTAAGGCAATGTGATGGAATATTTCATGTGAATGAGATTAATAACAGTTGTTTGTGAATAGAACTAAGGATCTACTCTAGTACCTCCGAGTCATTTTTAGCAAACCTCTTTCCAGAAATTTCTCATCCAAGTCTGAAGCATTCAACAGAATAAAAACCAACGCTATTGTTTGTTTTTGCCCTTTCTGTACATCTTCTGATCTCATGTCTGAGATTTCTTCTATTATTATTCTGGAATCGGCCTAAACCTGGATTGGTGAACTTCTGAGGCTGATGAAATAAATCAGTCTGAAAGCAACACCTGCTCTGCAACACAATGTAAAAAAGACAAAACAACAATAGTAGAAATGAAAAGAGAAAATAAATAGAACAAGTCGCCATGACCAGCGGGGGTGTAGATGTCCATCAGGATTGCTGCCACTCTAGAGCCTCTGCCATGGTGCAGTTACCATACCATACTGTGGTACTGCATGTCAGCAAGCTTTCAATGGACGAGTGGTAGAAGATCATAAGTAGATTTAAGTCCAGATTTAGTTTCTATAGAACCCCCAAATGAAGCCACTGCTGAGCCTGGTTAATGAACCAGGATATTCAATTCATCCATCCATCCATTTTCTGAGCCCACTTGTCCACGTAGGGTTGCACGGGGGGTGGTGTGTGTGTGTGTGTGTGTGTGTGGGGGGGGGGGGCTATCTCCAGCGGTCAATGGGCAATCAGGCAGGGTACACCCTGGACAGAGAGCCAGTCCATCGCAGGGCAACTCAATTCAAGTTTATTTATAAAGCGCCAAATCACGACAAGAGTCGTCTCAGGTCAGTTCATTAAGGCAATCAGAAAAAAATTCCTGTACAAGGAACCCAGCAGGTTGCATCGAGTCACTGACTAGTGTCAAGAGTCTTTACAGCAATCCTCATACTAAGCAAGCATATAGCGACAGTGGAGAGGAAAACTCCCTTTTAACAGGAAGAAACCTCCAGAGGATCCTGGCTCAGTATAAGCAGCCATCCTCCACGACTCACTGGGGATGGAGAAGACAGAGCAGACACACACACACACACACACTGATTCAACAAGCACATGCTGAGCAAACTCCGGCGCGCCGTCAGACTGAAGGCAGAAATGAGCGCTGCCTCCTCCGTGATAAAAAAACTTTTAAGAGGTTTTATAACATTTTTCATTCAAGGTCAAATTAAGATATTAGCTTCTATTTTGGGATGACGTATTAAAGTCAGGTCCGCTCCAGCCAGTGACTCCTCATGAACCTGACCACAACTCATGTTACTGCAGCATTTGTTATTCCAGTTCGCATGACAGCGGATCGCAGATTCAGCCACACCATAAAACAGCAATAAGTGGGTCTGAGGCAAAAGTGAACCTCATGGCTTTTCCATATTTTCCCCTATAGACATTTGATTACGCACAAGTAGGTGATCAGCTCAGGTTTACGCACAGGTTAAACGTTCCTACTTTAAGAAAACCGTTAAATTGCATTGTTTATGTTCTACCTGGGCACTCTAAACATTTATTTAAAATTAAATCAAAGGAAATTGTAATGGTATCGAATGTTTAATTACTATTTAAAAGATGAAAGTGATGGGGAAAAAGGTCGATCATATTTTTTTAACCCTGTCTGTCGAGTGACTGTTTAGCTTGACGTCTGATATATACATATATATTGCCATGCCCTGATGTGGGGCTGGGGGGTGCGTCGACATGGTCGTGACATAGAAGGGGGTGCGCGGCTAACCGCTGTTTTATGACCATAATCTACCTAATACAAAGCAGACATTCCCAAGAGCAAATGTATGATAATTTATGACTCTTTCGAAGCCTTTCTCCCTTTCTCCAAGTGCACTTTGCTGATGACTGCAGGGCGAGTATTGGGACTGGGCCTTTTTCTGCAGACATTGTACTAGTGATGTGTTGTTCACGATTGAAACGGCTCTTCAAGTCGGCTCTTTTAAATCTGAAGAGCCTGCTCCGTCTCGGACAAGCCGAATCAGAGATTTTTGTTTTTACTTGAAGACTATAGATAACCCATGCATGCGCGGGAAGAACATGCTAACTCCAGGCATGCATGAGAACAAACAAACTTCAAGTTAAAGAAGAAAAGCACAGGTGGGATTCGAACCTGCATCCTTCTCACTGCAAAGCAGCAGAGTTGTACCAATACAAATCTCATGTTTAATAACTTACAAAGTACCTTACTTAGTTCATTCATTCATTCATTCCTTTGAAATGTTGAATGTGGGTGTGTGAAAATAAAGGTTTCAAAAATCCTGAGCTTTTGGTGAGTACTTGAAGGCACCGCGGACTCTGATTGGCTGCCATGTGATGCCAAACAGAGTCCCCTTGTCTTTATGGCCAGTGTCAGCCGTATGTTAATGTCGATGGTGTCAGCACGGGGACAGCAACACCACACCAGAGGGCAACGACGTAATTGTGTTGGATGAAGGCACGTTTTGTTTAGATAACCAACCTGTGTCTGGGGTCTAATGAGCTAAAACTAGTTATCTTTGAACGCACTACCCCAGTTCGTCTGTTTTTTCCCCTCATGTTTTGTAGTGAGCTAGGTTAGCCTGTTAGCTTAGCTATACACTTCCGTTCGTACAGGACTTTTGACTGAAGCAACGAGACGCCCTCGAGCCCAATTTAAACGTGCGTCTACTTTGCAAGCTCCACTGTTCAAAGTGGATCTATTGTTCCTATTGCACGATAAGTTTGGGTGTAAAAAGGGTGGAAAAACATCAGCCTGCAAAACAAGGAAGTCTGAATGAAATGAACCACTAGCTTTCTGCTATAAACAAGCGCATATTTGCTATTCGCGCGAGATTTGACAGGACGTCAGATGAAGTGTTTAACCCGCGTGTTCCCGGGTAATAGCTCAGCTCAGCAACACCATCCGTCTCTGCTTAATTATTAGTGGAAACATTTGGGCAGACTTTGATCTGAGGAAGTGTCCTTGTCAGAGCGGCGTGCCCTCCTCCTCCTCCCACAGAGTCTCCTGTCAGTGATCCTGGAGAGATTGAAGCCAGCATGATTCCCGACAAAGCCCCGAAGGAGGACGTTTTCCACGGGTCGGAGGACCTGAGGAGGAACGCGCACGTCCCCAGCTTTGAGAAGTACAAGGAGCTGTACGTCCAGTCTGTGGAGAATCCAGCCGGTAGGTCGCTGTGATCGCATCACATCCTTCGGATGGGTCCAGGCTTCCTGCTGGTGACAAGTTTAGAGGAGACACGTCTTAAAGCACCAAGAGGAGCCTAGCTTGGACCTTTTCACTCTTTAGGGTTAAAGGTTGATCTAAATCAAGTATTAAAAGGTTTAAACCTCAAAAACGACGATAATATACCGACCCGCCGTTTTAGCTATTCATTCGTTTATTGTACAGAACAATGTGAGGTCCTGGGTTCTGTAGAGGTGTTGGTTCTGTACGGTTCTGACCAGCTGATAACACTCCCGTCTCATTCTGAGCGTACCCAAAGATCTGGAGTTAACTATTTTAACCTGAATATTCCGTACAACCTCTCTACTCAGTGTGTTGTGCTTGTATTACTGCTCAGTCACACCTGCTTATTATAGGATGTTGTGAGCGGCGCAGTTGGTCTCCATTTATCATTTCAATGTAGATTTTGACCATGTCAGGTGTTTACTGTAGCATAGCTCCACCCTGATTGGTCCAAACTGCCTGTTCTGTTCTGCTAGAGTTCTGGGGGGCTATTGCTAAGGACTTCTTCTGGAAGAGCCAACACACGGGACGGTTCCTGGACTACAACTTCGATGTGACCAAAGGCGAAATCTTTGTCAAATGTATGGAAGGAGCCACCACCAACATCTGCTACAACCTCCTGGACCTCAATGTCCACGAAAGGAAACTCGGGGACAAGGTTGCCTTTTTTTGGTCAGTATGAAAGCGTGTGCGTGTGTGTGTGTGTGTGTGTGTGTGTGAGAGACCTCACATGATGCTTTTGTAACACCCCGCGTCCTTTTCACTTATTGCCTTCACACTTCTGCTCTTTAGACATACAAGAAAAAACGGAACCTACAGATTTTTCTAAAGCCTATCGATGTGAGTGTGGTCGTCACGCCATCCTTTACTGTCAAAGCTCCTCGTTTACCTAATCAACTTGAATCTCTGACAAATAGCAGTAGACATGTTGGGGTCACTTGGTGGACAGTGCTGGCAGTTTTTAAAAAAGGGCAGGGCTTTGGGGGCGTGGCGAATTTTGACATTCTGCCATGAAATTACATTTGCTTCTCATTCCATCACTTCTGATAGTATCGGTACAAAATTTCAGGTGGCGGATACAAATCCGAACTTCAAAAGATAATAACCTGAAAACCTGGTGGGCATGGCTTATTTTTTGCAATAGCACCCCCTGGGTCCATTCAAAATATCAGCCCCAATCCATGCTCTGATAGCCTAGTGAACTAGACCGAATTCTTACTTTGGAAAGTCCATTGGGACCTCTGCAGCCCCTAGCAGCATTCTGGCTGGCCAAGGGGGTTCAAAAACATAGCTGTGATAGGTCAATAATGGCGGGCCAACCATAGTGCTCTATCTGCTTTGTGGGCCAATCAGGGCCCTCTATTCATCTGTTGGGCAGGTTGATTCAACAGAGTGGAACAAGGTGGTGACAGCTCTTTTTAAACAACTTTTACATAAATTTAGGACTTTTTGGACTTGGGTTTTATTAGATTCAGGAGCAGATAGATGTATTTAAGTTATTTTTTCAGAAAAAAAGTCTTTTCTCTTTCTTAAACAGCAGACCGCCTCGTTTACCGACATCCGTAGCAGCGAGTATGTCACGTTGTTCATTGTCCAGTAGCATGTGGCGATCGTTTGAAAGACAACACTAGAACCCTTCCCACAGCTGAGCCTACAATGGAGCATTGCCAGACTAAATAATATATATTTTTAGTCTGGCTTGCCAGCCTAATGGCAGGGTTTTTCCTGCGTTCAAATTTGCATGGCGGCCGCCTCCAGTTATTTTTGTGCCGCCCCAGCCTGATTTCACTCTGCCCCCAGCTATATGGATGTTATTTTAACTGCAGTTGCAGCATCGCGCCACTACAGGGCGCTGTATCAGCAGCGGTGCACCGAAAAGCACTAAAACCGCTACAGAAAAAGATGAAAAATTGCTTTTCTAGTTGGTACGTATCTATGGTTGGTGCTATTGATGTCCTGATCTTCCCCCAGGCTCTTCCATATCAGAGCAGGGCTGTACAGTGGTGTCTGTGCGTGTCTGTCTGTTTTTAAACGTAGCACTGGTGCAACATCTTTCATTTACTATTTTCCCCAGAACTTTATTGAACAAGTTAAGTGTAAGAAAAATGCTTTTTACTGGCGCACAGTGTGGTCATCTGGATGCAGTGGAGGAAAATAAAGGAACCAGCAAAGGCAGAACAACGGGTCACATTACACAAGTGTACGGCAAGCCGTTGTGGTACATAATTCACAAACGCTTCTATCTCTGAACATAATTTAAACTGGATTATTGCCAACCCGTACATTATAAATATGCCACCGTTACATTGTTAGCAGCAGAAATTAAATGTTATTACCATTTCCAATACAAATGCATGTTAATGAAATACATTATATTTTACTGCATATATTTATGTGTTATTATGACTCAGATGAGTGTTATTAATACAAACCTAAAATGTTACTGAAATGTAGGTCAAATATTTAAAAATATTTTTAACTACGGGAGTGCAGAATTATTAGGCAAGTTGTATTTTTGAGGAATAATTTTATTATTGAACAACAACCATGTTCTCAATGAACCCAAACAACTCATTAATATCAAAGATGAATGTTTATGGAAGTAGTTTTTAGTTTGTTTGTAGTTTTAGTTAGTTTAGGGGGATATCTGTGTGTGCAGGTGACTATTACTGTGCATAATTATTAGGCAACTTAACAAAAAACAAATATATACCCATTTCAATTATTTGTTTTTACCAGTGAAACCAATATAACATCTCCACATTCCCAAATATACATTTCTGACGCAGACTTCTTCTTGTACCACTGCTTGAAGAAGGTGTCTTCCAGAAACTGGCAGTAGGACTGGGAGTTGAGCTCGACTCCATCCTCAACCCGAAAAGGCCCCACAAGCTCATCTTTGATGATACCAGCCCAAACCAGTACTCCACCTCCACCTTGCTGGCGCCTGAGTGGGACTGGAGCTCTCTGCCCTTTACCAATCCAGCCACGGGCCCATCCATCTGGCCCATCAAGACTCACTCTCATTTCATCAGTCCATAAACCCTTAGAAGAATCAGTCTGGAGATATTTCTTGGCCCAGTCTTGACGTTTCAGCTTGTGTGTCTTGTTCAGTGGTGTCGTCTTTCAGCCTTTCTTACCTTGGCCATGTCTCTGAGTATTGCACACCTTGTGCTTTTGGGCACTCCAGTGATGTTGCAGCTCTGAAATACGGCCAAACTGGTGGCAAGTGGCATCTTGGCAGCTGCACGCTTGACTTTTCTCAGTTCATGGGCAGTTATTTTGCGCCTTGGTTTTTCCACACGCTTCTTGCGACCCTGTTGACTATTTTGAACGAAACGCTTGATTGTTCGATGATCACGCTTCAGAAGCTTTGCAATTTTAAGTCTGCTGCATCCCTCTGCAAGATATCTCGCTATTTTTGACTTTTCTGAGCCTGTCAAGTCCTTCTTTTGACCCATTTTGCCAAAGGAAAGGAAGTTGAGGGTGTTGATGTCATTAGACCACACCCCTTCTCATTAGAGAGATGCACATCACCTAATATGCTTAACTGGTAGTAGGCTTTCGAGCCTGTACAGCTTGGAGTAAGACAACATGCATGAAGAGGATGATGTGGACAAAATACTCATTTGCCTAATAATTCTGCACTTCCTGTATAAATATCAGATGGGAAAAAAGGAACTAAACACCAATCTGATGCATATTATTGAGCCTTTCATAATAATAGTCTGTTATTTCAGCCTGATAATTTTGTTGTTTTATTTCATATTTTTAGCAGCAAACCAGTTTTGTTTCACTTGAAACATTGTCAGATGGAATATTTTATTAATCAACAGAAGCTTAGATTAGAACACTTAATGAAAACATATTTGCCTTTAAAAAGTGAGGCAGTTAAATGCACAGAGTACGCATGTGCTGGCGCACGGTCAGGATGGTACCGCCTCTGCCTCAGTTTGAGCCAGGAAACCCCTGAAGGCTTTGGCTGACGATTGTGAAACTTTGTACACTTGTGTAGTGTTTCAGGACCTACAAAAAAGTCTCTTGGAGCCATGCTCCATATCCCAAAGGAAGTTAGCCATTTTGGTCCAAGTGCGCCATTTAGTGTTTTTTGCCCATGTTGAAGGTACGCACTGTACCGCTTAAGCGGTAAAAACGTGCACGCTCATTACAATCTCACTCCCATGGTGCGCTCTGGTTTTGGTTTTCTATGAGCCACAGATCTATGTTGTGTGTGTATTTATCCAACGGCGGGCGGAACCAGGACCAGCTGGGGAAACGCCCGGTGGCCCTATCTGAGCTCGGTGCTTTTTGGTTCTTTCGGGCCGGTGTTACTCTGTAGATCACCTGCTGCTGATGAGAGGAGTTCTCCTGTCAGGACCAGTGAGCTGTTGCCAACCCTAACCCAACCAGCTTCTGTTCCTAGAAACACGCTATAGCCCAGACTGTAGTGACCTGTTATTTATAGTATTATAATTAATATGACGTGAATGCACTAAACCCACAGGTGAAGGAAAATCAGATAAAATCAGCCTGAATATTTTCTCCCACAGCTCAGCTCTGTTAGAAATAAGCAGTTGTCTGCTTCAGCTGGACAACATCAAGTCAAAAAAGTGTTCACAGATAACTGATGTTTCAATGAAGAAACTAGATTAATCATTTTTCATTTTAATATCTGTTTAATTTCATTTCTAAGGTTTGGATGTCTGTGAACTTTACTGAATTTTCTGATTGATGTAAATAATACACAATTTAATTAATAACAGGTATGGATGTGGTTTGGTCTGAGGCCTATTTTTCTAAAGCCCAACAGTGTGGGCGTGGCTAAGCTTCAGATTTTGACTTGTCGCCAAGAAACATCTTGGTTTTATAACTTCCACATGCATGATCAGACAAAACTGAAACTTCATGAGTGTCATCACGGACCAGACCTGAAGCTCATTACATGTTTATTTGCTGGCATTGTCTAAGCCACGCCCCCTCACAGCAGGAAGTCTATTGTTTTTCTTTAAAAGGTCAAGATTTGACCTTTTACATCTAATCAAGATGAGACGCTGCCCAGTTCACGAGCCCATGATAGTGCACAACTGCATCTAGTACTCGGTGTGTTAATGAAGGTGTGGAGCTAAATCCCACTACATGCCTTGTAAGTACACTTGGCTGTAATTTCCACATTTCTGATCTGCACCAAATTGAGAGAAATGGATATTAATGCAGCTCCTAACTGAACTGGATGCAGAATGTTGGTGCATGTGAGCCAGTGTCTCCACAGCACTACCTACACACATTTAAAAATGTAATATCTTCTACTAAAAAGTTCAGAACTGTACCAGACTTGCTGGGCTTCATCACACAACTGCAACAACCACATTAATGGTGACTAGTTCAAATTAGTTTAGCTCCACCCACTTACAGACAATTGGCTATAAATAAACATGATAAGTTACCCCAAGCTACACCACGTTGATTTTGGTTCTCTGAAGAACAGGTAAGAGACTTTACTTAGATTGAAGACAGCGCCACCTAGATAGATTGAAACTTGAATTACTTTAACAAAGTCACAAACAGGCCAAACTTGTGTTTTATCACACACAACTTGTAAATGTGTTCACTTGTTCAGTAATCTAGACCACTATAGCACCACCTCCAAAGACATGGTTTGCTTTCTGTGACATGTGCACGGTCTGATTTCAACCTGCCTTTACATAGATGATATTTCGCTGCGAGGGCCGAACGAGGCTGCTTGCAGCTTTAACTATGAAGTGTTGTTTTAATCCATGTGGTTTTTGTTCAAACAGACTTTTATTCAGTCATATTCTAATGGCTGCAGGATGGAAATCATTTGTGGTTTAAATAATGCAGGGAAGGCAACGAGCCCGGAGATGAGCTGACCGTGACCTACCGGGAGCTGCTGCAGATGGTCTGTCAGTTTTCTAATGTGCTGAAATCTCAAGGTGAGCTACAGGGATTATACCTGTAGGTTTTATTCAACTTCATGTTTACAACACTATGCAAAGTAGCGATGCACCGATATCAAATTTTTTGGGCCGATACCGATATTCGACATTTAAGATCACTGTTATGGCGATAACCGATATTTGCCGATATCGATATACTGACATTAATGCCTTTAAAATCAGCAGATTTTGTACAGAATGAAAATTATTAAAGCTGAATTTACGTTATTATGTACACACACACACACACACACACACACACACACACACACATTTACAGTTCTGAGAAGATTTCATTCACTGTTCACGTGACTAAACAATTGCACATCACCCCCCTCACCCTCTGAAACAGGCAAACAAATGGAGACAAGATGGAAAAAATATCGGTTGTTAACACTGACCCGGTTTTATTTATCGAACCGATACCGATATGTTAAAAAATGACTAACATCGGCCTGTACCGATATTGATGCCGATATATTGTCCATCCCTAAATGCAAAGTAATCCATCAATCCATTCTCAACCACTTATCCAGAGGCGGGTTGCGTGGCCAGCAGCCTAAGCCGATACGCCCAGGCTTCCCTTTCACCAGCTAATTGGGCTAGCTCTTGTTGGGGAATCCCAAGGCGTTCCCTGGTACAGCCAAGAAACCCAGTCCCTCCAGTGTGTCCTGGGTCTTCCGTTGGGTCTCCTCTAGGGCTGAGCGATTAATTGCATATGCAATTAAATTGCGATGTGACAAAAGGAGATTTTCTAATCATAAAGGTTGCGAGTTGACTGGCAGTGAGTGGTTAGCACAATGCAATACATGGAAAAACCGATAGGGACGCTAATGCTATTATCACCGATTACATTCTTACAAATAATGAATTAGGAATGTGCCAAATTATTACATTTGGAGCCTAATTAAAAAGTTAAAACTGCTATTTATCAATAAGTACAGACAGATATTTTAATAAAGCTATAAAACTGTAAGAGACTTAAACCTCAGAGTTTTGGCAAGCTGCTGTGAACGTAACTGAAGTACGGGAGCTCTGCATGGACAAGACGTCCAAAACTCTAAACACAAAGACTTCAATAAATGGGACACACTTCTTTCCTGCTAATACATTTTCACAGTTGATGCAAATACCTATGCTTCTCAAGGGTTGTGCTCCTGGCTGCAAAGCATCACACCTTCAAATACAAAAATTTGTCTTTACTTGTGAGTGTTTATGTAGACAAATAAACTTGTTGATATAATTCATAGATACAGAAACTTGTTTATATTCAGCACGAGTTACATAGTTTGTTTTGCATCCGTTAGTTGAAAAATATGAGAAAAGCCCCTTGAGAAAATAATCGAGAATTAAATTGCAATATTGAAGAAAAAAAATCGCAATTAGATTCTTTTCCAAAATCTTTCAGCCCTAGTCTCCTCCCATTTGGACAAGCCCGGATATCCTTACCAGGGAGGCGTCCAGGAGGCATCCTAACCAGATGCCCGAGCAACCTCAACTGACTCCTCAACGTGGAGGAGCAGCAGGTTTACTCTCGGATGACTGAGCTTCTCACCCACCCTGTGGAGAAAACTAATTTCGGCCTCTTGTATCTGCGATGTAGTCCTTTCGGTCACTACCCACAGCTCGTGACCATAAGTGTGGGTAGGAAAATAGATCAACCGGTAAATTGAGACCTTTGCCTTTCGGCTCAGCTCTCTCTTCACCGAGACAGATCTGTACAACGCCCGCAGTGCTGCAGGCGCAGCGCCAATCCGCCTATTGATCTCGCGCTCCATCTTTCCCTCATTCGTGAACAAGACCCTGAGATACTTAAACTCCTCCACTTGAGGCAGGACCTTGTCCCGGATCTGGAGAAGGCATTCTACCCTTACTCGATTTAAGACCATGGTCTCTGATTTAGAGGAGCTGATTCTCATCCCAGCCTCTTCACACTCGGCTGCGAACCCCTCCTGTGAAAGCTAGAGATGGCTGTACGATGAAGCCAACAGGACCACATCGTCTGCAAAAAGCAGAGACCTGATCCTTTGGCCATCAAAACAGATACCTTCAATACCTTGGCTGTGCCTAGAAATCCTGTCCATAAACGTTATGAACAGAATTGTTGATAAAGGGCAGCATTGGCAGAGTCCAACTCTCACCGGAAACGAGCTCGACTTACTGCCGGCAATGCAGACCAAGCTCTGACACAGGGCCTGGTACCCCATACTCCCGGAGTACCCCCCACATGGCTCCCTGGGGGACACGGTCAAACGCCTTCTCTAAATCCACAGAACAAATGTTGGGTGAACTCCCACGCACCCTCCAAGATCCCCCTAAGGGTATAGAGCTGGTCCAGTGTTCCACGGCCAGGACCAAAACCACATTGTTCCTCCTGAATCCAAGGTTCGACAATCCGTTGGACCCTCCTCTCCAGAACCCCTGAATAGACCTTACCAGGGATTCTCAAGAGTGTGATCCCCTTTGTGATGCAAAGTCATGAAACACTGATCTCTGTCAGTGTGCCCCAGGGCAGCTGTGGCTACATTGTACCTCATCATCACGTGTGTGTGAATGGATGAATAGTACATTGTAGTGTAAAGCGCTTTGGAGTCCTCTAACTCAGAAAGGTGCTATACAAGTGTGAGTCATTCATCATTTATTTGTGTGTGTGTGTGCTGATTTTCTGCATTTTTAGTATTCACACGTATTTTAATCGTCATCTCTACCCACCTGACCCCTGTATAATCTAGATTATACCATCGGGTGATCATCTGGTCTTTTCAACAGGAGTGAAGAAGGGTGACCGCGTCTCCATATACATGCCCATGGTTGTGGAGCTGGTGGTGGCCATGCTGGCTTGTGTTCGTATTGGAGCAGTTCACTCTATAGTGGTGAGTGTGTGACTGGCGTCTGTGAAATTAGACTCCACACACTCTAACGTGCCTCTCCTGGCTCTAGTTTGCAGGTTTCTCTGCTGAGTCTTTGTGTGAGAGGATCATGGACTCCCAGTGCTCCCTGCTCATCACCGCAGGTCAGTTCCAGCTGAAGCTACAGGTTCAGTGGTCCTCAGCATGATGGCTCTACTGGAGTAGAGGACCTTTCTCTCGTCCACATAGACCTGATCTTGAAACGAGTTTCACCTCTCCTTCTGCGGTCCGGGGTCTAATTCTGTTTCTGTAACTCGATAGTTGTAAATATTAATGATTAACATGACTTCCTCAAGTTTTCTCCCTGTTGGACGGCCTTGTTAATCTGTTTGTTTCTTTGCTGTTTCAGATGGTTTCTATCGAGGAGAGAAGCTGATCAACCTGAAGCTCTTAGCTGATGAAGCTCTACAGAAATGCAGAGACAAGTAAGCTGCTGTTGTTCCTTAACCCTCCTGCATTGTTAATGGGGTCAGATTGGCCCCAGGTGCATTTTTTTTTTAAAGAGTGCACCATTTCAGCCTTGCCAATGGATAAACAATTAACCATGTTTAATCACCACTGGTCCTGGAGGGCTAGGACGGTGGAAGGGTTGAGCCTGGTTTATGCTTCTGTGTCAGCTCCATAAGCGAGATATCCACATGCACTGACAGAGACATTTTTCTCTCGGACTTCTCCGTCTCCTGGGGAGTGTTGTAAAGCAATTCCCTGCCAGGACAACAGAGGGAGTAGCGCTGTTTGGGGGTATCCTGCCACCATGACATTCATGTACTGGGTCCATTTACTATTGTGTTTTTATAATTTTAATGTATTTCAGAGACTTTAACAGGGACAAGTTTGTCCCTCATTCTCCTCCACCTCTTCATGT